ATTTTTCGAGCCAACTTTGTTGAACACTAGCACTACATTTTCTGCCGAAAATAAGAATTGCCTCAGAGTTTTGTAGCACAAGTATCTCAATTGAGATTTTATTTTATTTTAATTGCAACTCTATCAATATGTTTCTTTTCAAAGGAGAACTCATTATTATTCTTACTGAAATTCTATCAAATGTGTGTCCGAAAAGATCAACTCTTGATGATTATCAACACTCCACTATTAACTAAAGTGCTTTACTCATCAATTTTCCTGAACATAATGTAGTATCATTTTGTTTAAATTGACGAAGCCTATCAAATTATACATAATCTAAAATTAGTAGTCACTTTCAGTTTTAATTCGGTATACAACGTTTTTCCATGATTGTCAATTTTCTATATAGAGAATGAGAGCAGTATCATTGAAAGAAAATAGAAGGAGAGAAAAAAGTTTTTTTCACCCTCATATATGCAGTATGTTATAAAGGAAATAAATTGTTTTCATTTGATGTTGAAGTAAGCATTAGAGAAGTTCTCAAACGCAAAATAAGGTCTTCATAGAAACAACACATAATATAAAGATATAGAAGACCAAAAATATTGAGATTTGAGTCAGTTGTATATAGATACAATGAAACTTAATATTCAAATTCGAAAAAAAAATCGACTTATAATATCTAAATGAACAATTAGGAAGTTAACAAACTCAAAATCAGAGAGAGCCATGCCATCTCATCGCTTAACGAAGTATTCCTTGAGAAAAAAAGATCCATTTTAATAGTAGTGTTACCATTATAATATGAAGATTGAAAGAATCTATTTTCTCATCAAAGTAAGGTTTCAAGTTCTGGAAAAAGCTTTTTATAAATCAATGGAAATAAAACTCAAGATTTAATCTTTCACTTAAACTACACGTAGTTGAACTCTCTTTTTCGACATTCGTCAGTGATGTTTAGTGTTTCGAAAATAGGAATAAAATAAAATCAAGAAAAGATAAAACAAAATTGTAACACGGATCAAATTAAATGAGTTTCTAGGAGATTTAGAACTTTGTTGCAAATAATAATTCACAAAAAAAGACTTACTAATCTATGTCGGTATCAATTTCTCTTCCATAATTTTCGATTTTTACTTCTTAATGTCTTTGCACGGATTGCTTCTTTTTCTCTTCTAACAATTTCTTGTTTACTTTCAACGGTTTTTTGAAGCATCTTACATGGAAATGAAAAAGAATAATACAGTGACACAAATAGGGGAACGTTAATATTCCTACGAAATATACAATCATCATGAATTTGAATAAAACGATTTTTCGATGATTAGTCTTTTACTAAATTAAAAATGACTTAAAAATTATATTTATCTTATCGATTTGTATCATTACAATTTTGCAATATTACGGAACAGCAAAGCAAAGCACTGTTTTTTTTTAATGTGAGATACTATTTATACTATTCTTCCAACAGAAAATCAAAGCCTATAAAAAAAAGTTTTTTGTCGAATGTTATATTATATTATCGGATCCGACTCTCGGTATGATTTAATATACGATGAACAGGGTTCGCTTCTGCTATACATTTCAAGTTTCGAAGAAGTGTGATGATGATATGTTCTTACCAAAATAACAACTACATGTCGATATTGCTAACGATTGTATAATAATTATTTTTCGTGTTTTTAGTTCCTCACTGAATTAGATAAAAATATTTTGATTATTTTATTATTAGTTCAAGATTTCATATAGATGTCGTTGTTTCAAAAAATGCATCAGCTAATTATAATCGTAAGAAAGAAAGAATCGATTTCTAACTACTATATCTATTACCCAAACAAACAAGCATACTATAGGTGTATCGCTGTTTGTTGATCGTTTCCTTTAAAACTAGAATAAATATTTCCGTTTTTACTAGTGAAATTTTTATCAATAGCTGAAAGAAATTTATACAAAAAATGACTCACTCGTCTCCAAGCTTCATTTTCGATATAGATATAAGCAAAATAATATGTACATTATGTATATTTTATCGTTACTCGTTGTTTACTAAACGCACTATGTTCCTTATTTTGGTTTTGTCTGTTAGGTCGCCAAAAAACAAGGAGTAACATATTACAAATACGGTTGACTAAGACTTAGTACTTTTGTTGTTTATGAATTTTTTATTTGTTCTTTCTTTTATTCGAATATTTTCCAATAATTTTCTAACCTATTTTTCTCTCTATGATTCAGATAATATTACCAAGAAAACAAAAACAAAGATAGAACAACATTAACTTTGGTGATTTCCATTGAATGATATAACGGATAAATTTCTTATTCTGTTTGGTAAGTTTACACAAATGTGTCTATGTGTATGCATACATTTATTTAATCGTGCGTTTCGTCATCAAAATTCAAAAATAAAACGAAACATATTATCTTAAGTATAATTTAATCATAATCCAATAAAGAAATTTTTTTTTCATGTGTCCTTGAATCATAAAATATGAGTCTATTTAAATCCTTTCATGGAAATTTTACTTTTGATGAAAGAACGAATCAAAGAGCGAAAGAAAAAGTGACAATCTTTTACCATGTTTATCTAAAGCCAACAAAAGACGAAAAGGATACCCAAAGTACAATTAATCTTCAGTCGAATTATTGTGGTATGCGATGAGAAAAGAAAACATAAAAAGAAAACAAAAGGGAGTTAAAAAAGAAATCGATCGAGCTCAATGTTAAAAAATATGCATGCGCCTCATAAGAAAGAGAGAAAATAAAAAAACATGTTATCGCATGATTTGTCTTTTGAGTACAAACTTCACCTTTGATCGTAAACGTAGAGAAAGTACTTTTGCTTATTCATAGACTGATACAATTACGACTTAAATTTGTTTTTTCAGTTGCCTTATCAATTAAACATTAAGAATCATTATGATCACACATGTATGCATAAGAACACATTTAAAAGAGAATTTTCTTAATTACATAATTTCAATGATATCTGTTTAACATATTTGCTTGATAATCTAGTTACATAAATTCTGCTGTCTTTTTCTTTTTGAAAGAATGTCCTAATTTTAATAATAAAGACAGATGTAAAATAGCCTTGTTTCATTACTATTAATTAATTAGATCATTTGAGATATTAATTTTTTTGTAAAATAAACCAAACTTTTGATGTCTAATTTTATAACAAATGATTTTTACTTTTTCTTTATTCAATATAAAACTATTAATATAGATACATTGAATAGCCAGCCTTTAGGTGACAGAATTCTTTAATATCAAGGAGAAGGCTAAATATAATCTTTTAATATTAATCGAAATACATTTTTATTAGAATGCTGTTAAAGAAAAATTATAAAAGAGAAATAAATAAATTACGATGACATAAAGTTCATCATTCGTTATCAAAGTTGTTTATTAATCAATTTATTTCCAAAATTAAATAATACTTCTACGATCTGTTACGTGCAGCCTGTTGTATGTCGTTCCTTCACATATACAAGCGTAATAGTATATTAGAGTTTTTTGTTACATTTTTCAATTCATGGTTTACTCTTTTAAATGATAAAAAATTCTTTTTTTTTTCTTCGGATAAGTTTATTGTTAACTACGAATGAAAGAAGTCCTTGTCTTTTCAGTAACAAGCTATAAAAAAAAGAATATATATTGCCAGGTACTTTAACGGGTCATGCCGACGTCAACATAAACTCTGTCATGATTATTAATTGAACTTCGTTTCTCAATTTCTCGTTCTTCTGCTTCTTCTCTAGCAAAGAAAAAGTATTCATGAAAGTATAGCTCAGGAAAAAAATTTTCAAAGTTGATTGTAGATAAATGCGTCGATATATTTAGATATATTTATTTATATTTTACTTATGTTCAGCCACCTTTTATGATATAAATACAATATGATGTAGATATGTTCTTCTTTTTTTGCGCAAAACAAAACGCCCAATTTGCTGTTCTGACTAGAAAAAAAAAGATCATTCGATATAAAAAAAGAGTCGTCAGTAAACATAGAAAGGTAAAAAAATAAACACAAAATGTATTACTCGCAGCAATGAAAATTGCAAAAAAAAGGCTGATAGGTTGTTATTTTCTTTTCTTTTGTACTCTTTACATATTCAGCACTCATCAGGCATCTACGACTTCTATGATTGTGATAAAGTAGGGCAGGAACGAAAAAGTACCCGACATTGGAAATAACCTTAGTGTTTTTTTTTGCTTTTTTTCTTTCCGTTCTTTTACCCTTCTAGCCAAATGGGTCTTATCTTGGATATGACCATGCCTACTGATTGTGTCGCCTGTAATTGTAAAATGCAATTATGTAAACACTCGTGCTTGTAATACGAACCTTAAAAATATTCTCTGACTAGACCAAAATGACCGACACTTCAGTACCGTTTCTAAATTCTACTATTCATACTTATTTCAAGTTAAAATTATCAACGAATATAAATGATTTTTTTGCTTTTTTTTTGTTATTTTATTTTTTCTTCTGATTATTTTTTTACATCGTAGTGTTTTTTTATGGCTAAGTATTACATATCAAATGTGATATTTCGTATATACTTTATTCTTCATCGTATCGTGAATAAAGTATTCTATGAAAAGCAAACATTTCGACGCATGTAGAAGTACTCGAACTCTAATCATGTCCTGACCTAAACATTTTTCGCTCTGTTCTTTGTTTATCATATTTGTTTTTCTTATTTTTCTATGAGTACTCATGCCTTTCTTTTATTAGTTTTTTTCTCATTCTTTGCTTTGTTCGCTTCTACATCAGTGCTTTAATTTCTGTTTTATCTCCCTGTAATTCTTTTCTTCCCGTCATTTACAGACTGCATTATCTTTTTCTTCCGAATATATCCATCTATTTGTCCTTAGTGAGATCGATGTTTTAAAGTCCAATCTCATGTTCATAATCATCATTCTATTACAGAATTATTTTCTCATGTATTGTCATTTACGTTTCAATCATTTTAATAGATAGCTATATTAGTATAGAAAGTACAAATTAAAATTAAATGTTTATGCCGTTACCATTAAGTATCGGCAATCGTTCTCATCAATCATCACTATCCAATGGCTTATATCGAACAAGGTGCGATATTCTTTTTAAACAAAACACCAGCATTGTAACTGACAGTTCCGATCTTTTGATTTTTTTCATTAATATACTAATATTTATTTTTAATTTTATATTTAAATTTATCTTGTTTATTTTTATTAGTTCTTATTCCACATCAAAACGACATTCACCCGATGATGAACAAGTTGTAGAAAATAAATCTCATTACGACATAAAACTTGGTATAAAACGACGTTCAATTGGTTCATCTTCATCTTCATTGTCATTCAAAATGCAAAAACAAACAACACATGAAACAGATGTTGGCGTGGCTGGTCGCTTTTGTAGTGTATGTGGAGATATAAGCACTGGTAAATATTATTTTTTTGTTTAAAACAAACAATTATTAAAAAAACATCTGCTGTTAGGAATACATTTTGGTGGTAACAGCTGTGAAAGTTGCAAAGCTTTTTTTCGTCGATCGGTTCAATGTCTTCGTTTTCAAAATTATAAATGTTCAAATGAAGGTAAAATAATAGAATCTGCTCTTGCTTTATCTAGACTTATATAAACGGATAAGATGATTTTTCCGCCTATTTAATAATTCATGTAATTATTACTCTCTTTCATTCAGAAACTACTTAATTCATGACTTTCTCTAATAGAATAGTAGTGACGATGAATAAAAGCGAAGCGAAAACCTATATATTTACATATAGCGTGAGTTGTAAGTTCTTCGCCCCTGTATATGTGTGTAATAAAATAACAGGAAAAAATATCCAATAGTACATTTATGTCGTGAAATCTAATGGCGAAACAACAAGAATGTTTTGTTTTGAAAAATAATTCAATAAACCTTTCTACGCATGTTGTTTCATTTTTATTAATGAATATAAAAATAATTTTCTCAATAGATATTTTAAGATAAAAATAAAATTGAATTGATTTTTATATACGTGACTATTTATGCAGAAAAATATATATTTCTACTTTTTGATACTTCTCAGTACTTCATTATTTTTATGGATTGCAAAAGCACACCTCCTCCGCTGTAGAATATTATATTTAATTCACATTCCTATGAGAAAGAATGAAAAAAATAAAGATGTACTAACAAAGTATTTTACTTTAGAACAATGTTCAGTGAATACTTCATCACGCAAAGTCTGTCAGTTTTGTCGCTATGTGAAATGTACAGCAATTGGTATGAAGCCGAAATGGTAAGAAGAAAAATACAAAGAAAATTTTGTTTAGAAAATTTCTCATTAATCTAAATAGGGTTTTGTCGGATCAAGAACGTGAAGAAAAATATGGTTCGAGACGAAAACGTTTCCGTGAAAATCATACAAGCGAAGAAGATCCAGATATTTTTAAATTTTTAATCAAAGAAGAAAAACTACTCATTGAAGATATTGCACATGCATTCTATCAATCTCGAGCGTACGTATTGTCTCTATTTTGATTAGAAAATGAGGTCCTCAAGCACGTTATCTATGTCACTATTGATTATATATCAGAAGAAAAATATTATCAGAGGTCATAATCTCTAACGTTTTCATTTCGGTTAAGCAGTACGAGTATAGGCCACACAAAAATGAAGAAAAAATCAATTCTAATAATTTTCTTTTTAAAAAAACTTTAGAACGTATCCATTAAATTTTCCAAGTCCGTCAACACTATTAGGAGCTTTATCAAGTTCATCATCATCGTCATCTGATAATAAAAATGCTCAATCAGCAAATAATGAAAAGCCACCAAGTGCACCTGCTAATCTTCTTATTGTACCAATTCAACGTCTTGTTTTGTTTGCAAGAATGCTCAAAGATTTTGATTTATTTTCTGAAGACGATAAAGTTAGTTTACTTAAAGGTTCAGCTATTGAAATCATGGTTTGTTCGTCAAATACATTATTTAATCCAAAAACTCATACATTTACAAATTATTTATCCCGTGATCAGCGTGCTGTTGTTGATGATCAAGTCTTACCATTAGATTCATTACTTATCAGAGTATGGGGCGAAGAAACATTTAATCGCACAAGAAGCTTTTTAATATCAATGTGTAATTTAGATGTTGATGAAGTAACATCAACACTATTAGTGCCAGTTATTTTATTTTCACCTGATCGTTTAAATATCAATGATCTCACTTTAGTTATACGTTTACAAGAAAAATATGTAACACTTCTACGTAAATATATGAATTGGCGTTATGGTATCGAACTAACAGACACTATTTATCCGAAACTTTTACTTCAAATTGTTAATCTCCGGTCATTAAGTTTAGCACATGGTGAAATTATTCAAAAATTTATGACTACATCAAGTGTTAATCCACTTGTACAAGAAGTTACTATTAAACCGGAAATCTTGGCTAAGTCACATAGAGAAAAAATCGGTAAGAAAATAAAAGAAAATTTAAATGATATTTATTTTATTTTTTAAGATTCATTATCATCGTCGCCAGTTGATATTCAAATGACCGATTTTGACAAAACTCCATCTAATGACACAGAAAGTAATAATGGTTCAGATGAAGATGATTTTATAAAGAAAAAACTTCGTTCGTCAGTCGATGACAGTCTTGATTATGAAAATGAAGATCTAGATGAAACAGATCCACGTAACATATGGAGAAAAAAACGAAAATTGTCGAACAACGATCAAATTTCATCTGTGATACAAACAGACATAAAAAAAACTGAACAAACTAATTCTAACAAAAATCAAATGAAAACTACTAATGATTGTACACATGATGATAAATATCTACAAACGAATCGTTTATCTATGAAACCGCATGATCATCAAGTACCAGCTATGATGCCTGTACAACATGACGATCTAATGGCAATGTCTAATAAGTCAGTCATTCAATGAAACGAGAGTTTGTTTTTTCTATTTTGTTTTTTTCTTTTAATTTTTTAGTCGATTTCCTATTCCAAATCAATTTCAACAATCACCATTAAGAAAACAATCTTTAACAATAAATCCTCTTCCAATACCACAATATCAACAAATCTATCGAGCACATTCATCGTCAACAAATGATCTTTCATCATATGATTATCATTCACACCGTAAGCTTGATGTCAAAATAAATAGTTCAATATGGGAAAGCAAAAATTAAAAAAAAACATTTTAATAATATTTTTAGCAAATCAAATTTATAACGCGACAATGCTACCAGTAGGAGGACAATTTTACGATGAACATACTTACGAAAATTATCGTCAACATTATGCCCGCATGTCGGCTGCTAATTATCAACAACAACAAAATGAACAACAATTACTACTTCTTTCATTAGGTAAAGTCAAAAAATACAAATACAGTTAAATATTTTTATGTATCTGTTATTTAGCAAATACTCAAAGTCAAACACAACCAATTCCATCTCTACCTAACCATGTTGTAAATCATCAATCTCAACCACCAACTTGTTTACCACCACGATCAACACTTGATGAAGATGAACAACAATTGCTCAATGCTATTCATGCTCACCCAAATAAACGTGATCTTGTACTCAATCTTTTACGTCAAATGAATCAATCACCATCCTTAACACCATCATCTATTCAACAGCAACAACAACAACAAACGAATCCATATTATAAGCATTATCAATAAGAACAATATTATTTTAATTTATCAGCTAACCATAAACCGAATAGAATTCATTCATATTTGGAATATAATAATAATGAATCATCGAATTTTTTATTGCCAAAGATTTGTATATATTGAACATTATTTTTCTTTTTTTCCTTTCTTTTGAACATCTGAAAGTGATCATTATATTTTTTTTTGTCTATAATCTGAACTCAGTATCAGATTCCGGTCAGTCAGAGTTCCAATGAAAACAAAAATAAAATTCAATTACATTAGTGGTTTATGTGTGGATTAAGTAAAATTATTTGTGTTTTATGTTTCTTTTTACAGCTGAACAATAATGGCTTTGTGTCATTTAGTTTTTCTTCTTTCTTTCTGGCTATTGTCTAGTAATGTTATATGTAATACATTCAGTGTTTTCTCTCAAAATGCTTTTCTCAAGATGTTTACGTATTTTTGTTTTGCTTTGTTTACTATTGAAATATTTTTATTTTCTTGTCTTAGTTGAATTTAACATTTATATGTCGGTGTTGTTTCGTGTAATTATACTTATGGCTGATTCACATGATGAAGCCTAGTTTTCTCTTTCTCTTTCTCTTTCATTCATTTGCCGCTATCGGATTGAAAGTTTCAATTGATGTGAATAAAAACAAAAAATTTGAACAGAACTATCAACTTAAAGTCTCTATTATCTACATGACAACACTGCCGGATAAAATAAGAAAAGAGAAAAGATTCAAATAGAATAATACTTTTTGATAAGGAAACACAAAATTTTCCACGTTAGAGAGCTTGTCTTTGACGGAAGTTTTTGAGGGACTACTTTCTTTTCAAGTGTTACTTTGTCGGAAGCTCAATACTACTAGTCAACTCGTTCTTAATGTCATTGAATCAAGGAAAAAAACATTATGACAAAAGAGAATGAATTTCTTAAAGTATTCAAACTAATTATTTATCAAATGAAGAAAACTATCATCAAAATCGACTCAACGCACAATTGTGTAATTTAAATTTAAAGCGTATATTCTGATTTTTGTAAAAGTGCTGTTTTTAAATATAGTTTCTATAAGTATACAATTCATATCTGAATTAATATTATTAAATTTTTGTTGATCGACTAGACGAACTTTGAGCTTTAATTACTAAAAATAAATCATATCAAACTAAAATGTTAACTAATGATATTCTTTTCTATAATTGAAAAATCATCGTAGACACATTTTTATTCATATAAAAATTCTTGAAGTAATTATTTTTAATAGTTCTATCATGTTCAAAGCACGTTTTAACATAGAGGAGTACATTTTTCTATTTTTAATATTCTATGAAAATTGTTCTACTTTAATTTTATTAATACACTGTAGATACAATTTTAACATATCAAAACTAATAGATAACAATTCTTGTTTGAAATTAACGTTCTATTAGAAAATTCAATTGTATGTCATGATAATTTCAGATGTGGTTTTAAAATACACCTGATGAGTGATCATATTTATATCGACCGTAGTGGTACAAGGACATCGTACATTTTTATCATACTCAAGGTTAAATTATATGTTAAGCGGCGCAAAAAAACATGTTACGCAAAGTCACATTCTATATATTATTCACTGGATAAAAACACATATGGCACGAAGTCGGAATAATATGTTCTAACAGAATGACATATTTTTATATTCTATAAAGAGGAATAAAATCAATAGTGTCAAGAATACAATGAATCATTGTCTTCAATTTTTTGAAAGATCATGCCGATAATGTACTTTTGATAGCATCATATATTTCGTGAATAATCAATTTTAAGTTTATTGCTTGAAATGATTCGAAAGTTGAGAGTTCGTAGTATAATGAATGCAAATTTTTATGAAGCTATGCTGATTTTGATTGTTGACTTTGATAGTTGAAGTGTAACTTGAATTGATTGAGAAAATCGAATGTAGAAGAAATATTCCACGATAAACTAAAATAAAATATTAAATTTCTTAAATTCTATCATCGATAACTTTCAAACTCATAGTTTGGCTATAAGTTCGACTTAAATGAACTAGAAAAATTTCAAAAGAAACTCGAACTTATATATACATGTATATATATATATTAAAAAGTCACCCAGATAGCCGTTTCAGTCAAGACTAATTAGCTGTAGAATCTAAGAAATTGAATTTGTTGTTATTAGGGGGCTAGTTCCTAATAATAACATACAAGCGAAAAAATGTTCCTAATAACAACCGCCAGCGAAGAACAAACAAAAAGTAAAAGAATTGATAAAACGCATGATTTTGCTACCTGAACTTCAAAATTTCGATATACTCCTGGAACAAAAAATGTTCGTTACCTTTTGATGTATATTTATCCCAAGGTTCCGATTTTTATCAATTAAATTGAGAAAGTTATTAAATTTTTAAAAATCTTAATTTTGTTGTTATTAGGAACACTGATCCAAATAACAACATCCTATGAAAAATACATAGAAAATAATTTTGTTTTACTAAATGGAGTTTTCCCATGGTTAAACATGAATTCTTTTTTGTGCGCCTGTCACCAAAAATATTTGTACATTACGAACCTGTAAATATCCAGCGGTTCTAGTCAAACGAAGTTTTCCTTCTTATGATAATGGCATGGGTTGAGAACTAGTGTTGCTAACAAATGGTGGGCTATCTAACTTAAGCTTACTTAATCTCATTTGTATTTCATTTGATAGCATAGTAGTTTGCGATATATTCATATTTTTTTCTTATCATATAGTGATGTAAGTTAAGGTCCTGTATATCTTATTGAAGCGTCCTAAATAATTGATCTCTCGCCGAAATTAAATAAAAGCATTTGAGAAAAGTGAAAGTCACAAAAGCTTTAGTTTTAGAGAATGAAGTTGATTTTATTTGAACGAAATTCATTACGATTGTTCAGTTAAGTTCTTATTATTATTTTTTTCAAAAGGTTATATAAAATAAATGACATGTTTTTGCAAATAAGCTCTGTAACGATAAATGCGAAGAGCGTCTAAATTCCACGTGGGAGTGTAACGCTCCCGTTCGAGTGTGGTCTGTGCATGGTATTTGGCTTTATGGCGCCATTTCTTCTCATCACATATATTGCCTTTATCTTTCTGTCCTTGATATTTGTCTTTATCTCTCATTCTCCTTCGTTCTCTCAAATAGTTGAGTATTTAAGCGTGTGCTTTATATGTAATCGAGGCGGTTTTATGATTGGAAGAGTGAAATAAAGTGTAATACCATCAGCACAAGCATCTCTTCTATCAAAAATCGTTACAAGCTCGCGGCAGTTATAATTACAATCAATATCATTAGAAAAAGAGAATGAAGAGAACAATTACTTTTTCAAAAATGACAATTATAAAAGATTTCAACCGGCTATATAGAAACTGAGTAATGTTACTTAGTTTAGTTCAATAGAAGTATATCAATTAGAAAAAATACAATACAATGTTGATATCATTATAGGATTTATAATGTACTAATTATATCTTCGATTGGTTCCAGTGAATTTTTGCATGCTTATCTAGGGTACAATTATGAATCAAAAACTATCTACTAATTAGATCGATTTTTTTCAAATGCGAGAAAAATTGAAAAAATATTGAAATTGAACTAAAAAGGCATACATCACTGAGAAATTTTTTTTCTGCATATAACAACTCATTCAATATTGTATGAAATAGCTGAAGTAATAAAAATACAGAAAAAAAGTTTTCCTTTCACTAGAACCGCTGGATATTTACAGGTTAGTAATGTACAAATATTTTTGGTGACAGGCGCACAAAAAAGAATTCATGTTTAACCATGGGAAAACTCCATTTAGTAAAACAAAATTATTTTCTATGTATTTTTCATAGGATGTTGTTATTTGGATCAGTGTTCCTAATAACAACAAAATTAAGATTTTTAAAAATTTAATAACTTTCTCAATTTAATTGATAAAAATCGGAACCTTGGGATAAATATACATCAAAAGGTAACGAACATTTTTTGTTCCAGGAGTATATCGAAATTTTGAAGTTCAGGTAGCAAAATCATGCGTTTTATCAATTCTTTTACTTTTTGTTTGTTCTTCGCTGGCGGTTGTTATTAGGAACATTTTTTCGCTTGTATGTTATTATTAGGAACTAGCCCCCTAATAACAACAAATTCAATTTCTTAGATTCTACAGCTAATTAGTCGGTCAATTTTGATGGTTGAAAATTGATTTTTTTATGGTTCGATAGAGAAAATATTTTTCTACTCAAAAATGTTAAAAAATATAACTTTTCATAGAAAATCATCTAGTTACAAAGGAAACTAAGAAGACCCCTGAAATGACTGTTGTTATTAGGAACATTGACTGTCTCGTGGAAACAAAAAAAATTGAACGTAATGACTCCACATGAACTTTCTTTTATAGTATATTAGAGACTATGAGTTACGATGTAATAAAGAGTATATCAGTCCAATTCATCCTATGTTGGAAACAAACATAATCTATCTGATGGATCATTTGATACTAATTGCATATGACAAGACAAACCAAAGAAGGGATTTGTCTCAGACATTCGATGTCAAATGAAAATTACATTTATCCCTATTATCTTTTTAAGAATAAACTATAGCGACTTACTGATGGATAAAATTCTAGATAAGAGTCTTTTAATTAACTTTTCGATGTGTAGCTATGATTGAGAAAGATATGAACTTGAATCAATTTAGAATCTTGTTTCTGTAGTTAGATCATACTCATAATTAAACAACGCCATCCGACATTTCTATATGTTTTGTCGCCAGAGAAACAAATATGTGGCTTCATAGGATGCCATCATATAATGAACTTAATTACTCTACATTTATCACTTGCTTGTTTTTGAAAGTACAGAAAATAGATCATGCCAACTTCAGTTACGCTCTGAGTGAAATTTCATAATGTATCGGAAAAAAGGACTATACAAAGAATATGTTAAGAAAAGTTGGTACTTTACTAATAAAACCCAGCTGACACTTCTGTATGAAGGCGAAACAAAGCCATTCTTGGCTTTACAAGAATAATTGATGAAAAAACTGAAAATAAATGTTAGAAACAGTAATAAGAAAATGTGTGATGAAAATACATATTATTTTTCTGCATTCAATTCAAAATACTTCTATTTCGATTTCTGACGAGTCATAAAATCTATTTGATATCGCCAAAAGAATAGTTAAAACGAATCGGCAATATGCAAATAGTGATGTAAACATCTGTGAGATGACGAAAATAGCCGATATTTAAAAAAATCCTTATCTAAATCATTTCTTCAAAACTTTTTTGTCACTTCGTATAACTTTTTTTTATTCAATTCTTCTGGTAATGTCACGTAATACTTCTCAAAAATTTATAACGATTTAATTTTAGCATTCTGATTTATCATCAACAATTATGCTTCTCAACCCTAAATCCAAATGACACTGTATTGAAGACATTAGTAGTAATTCATCTGTAGTGCTGATATGATCAACTATTTGCTATTTATTCTATTAGTAATAGTATACCTATATGCAGAAGTTCATGCAGGCAGTGGTGCTGTCTGTTTTTTAACTACTCGGCCAGCGTTAGAGACACTTGATTTTGCTCAAGAACTTGCTCAAGATGCAACAGAATATGGTGTTGATGTATTCATTATGATTGATGATAATAATTTCAATATATCAAACATAAAAACTTCAACCAATCTTCGATTATTACAAATTTCGAATCAGCAATGTATTTATTATGGTTATCAAAATGCTATTAGCTTAAAATCTGGATGGCGCGAAGTAACATCATGGGACAAAGCTCTTCTCTATTTTTCTCTACTGAATAGCAACTACACATTTGTTTGGTTAGTTGAACATGATGTTTTTATTCCAAGTACAAAAGCATTTCTTACGTTACATCAACTTTATTCGAATACTAGCGATCTCATTGTGGCACGTAATGAAATTAATTTGCTAGGTGATGCCTCAACGTGGTTATGGTCAAAAGCCATTGGAAAACTTGTTCCACCTTGGTATTGCTCAATGGTTAATGTAGTAGGATTAAGTAGATCCATGTTGATAGCTATCGATGATCATGTTCACTGGTTAGGTGTAGTACCATTTCATGAATTTTTCTTCAATACATTAGCTATGCATTTAAACATGACCATAGTTACGCCAATTGAACTGAATACTATTAATTTTCAAGTAGATTATTCTTTCGAACAAGTATTGAAACAATCTAATAACTTATGGCATCCATTGAAAAGTCTGACCGAGCAAAAATCGTGGCGTCAAACGTTAGTATTTTTATGTTAATTAACATTATAGTTATAAAATAAAGTCATTTGAAGTAATTTTCTATTGACGTTCATTTATTAAATTTATTTTTAGTTTGCTGAATCAAAGTTTAGAAAAAAATACTACAAATGAGTTTATTGATTTTGAAACTTTATTTCATCATAATCAAACTATGATAAATATCGAAAACTATTTAACAAATCTACTTACGAAATTCGAAATAAGTAAAAGTCAATTTTCATCAGCTAGTCGCATTTCGTTACGTCAACGTTTCTGTGATATCGCTAAAGAATATCAACAACGAAATGTTTCCAAAAACGTGACATCAATAATAATGAAACTTGCTGATCATGCTTATAAATTGCCGGAACGTATGTAACAAGAAAAATCTTTCAAATCATACAGAAACATGTACGTTGTTTATTTATTTTAGTACGAATGGACAATTTCGTGACAAGTAAAAGTAAAAATCATTTGAGATTGGAACAAGCATTGAAAGAAAATAGAAAAACTATTTTTCGATCACTGTCGAATTCTTTTACTATGGCTGAACTCAGAAATGAAACAAATAATTTAATGACTGAACTAAGATCGGAAATACAACGAGAATTCAAACAACAACAGGAGCGTCGTAAGTTTCAATTTTTTTTTAATTAGTTTTATCAATTTCTCTATTTTAATTCAGAAAACCACACTGCATCGCCTTCATCATCATCATCATCATTTTCTTCTTCTGCCTGGTCTTTTATTATCACTTCTAGTGGTGCATTGAGTTCTACTCGTATAATTTCTTCAACTGAACTGACAAAATTGAAAATAAATAGAACTTTTTATATGCTAAAGAAAAAAAATACTAATCAAATATTTGATCCTATAGATGATAACTCGAAAATATTCTTTGTCATATTGTTCAGTTTTTGCATATTATTTGTATTATTCAAATGGGAAAAAATACAAACTTAGAAATCTTTCTTTTTTAACTATTTTAATCGATTTATTGTTATTTTCATGTTGATATGTCGTATAATATCATATTCATAAGACACTATCCATAGAAATAAATTAAAGAATATATGGAAGATTATTTGATGTTATATAGATTTTCTATTAAAACAACTTTTTTTTGAAATACCGATAACTTTAATGAATTCTCTTTCTTCTTGTTAAAGTTTTGTAAATATCCACATAGGAGTGCATGCAATATCGTTTTTATTTTCTCCATTTCGAAGTAAAAACAATAACATGGTTGATTTTATATAAATATTACTTTTCAATCATTGTCTTTTGTTTCTATTGCTCTGTATAATTTAAGTTCAAACTATTTAATCAATGATACATGTTTAATATTATTTATAGAGCTTAATCGATTATGGATATATTTTTATTCGTGTGTCTAGTTGATCATCGAATTAAATCAAAAACACAGGAAACTGATTAATTAATTATCTGTTTTAAAAATGATTTCTTCGATCTGTCGATTGAAAATTTTAGAAGTTTAATCGAGTATATACTTTTTTGCATGTCCTATTTAAATCAATTTTATTATCAATTAATTACTTATTTGATTATTTTGTAGTTGAAAATTCAATATTTGTTCTCTTTCATGACAATATTCTTCATTCAACATTTAATGTAACATACTATGTTGACCTAATTATCTGCAAATTTGTCTATGCCATCTCTTTCTTTAGAAAAATCCTTGGAATTATAAATCATGAATCCATCTATCATCGATGAAGTATTCTATTTGGTTTATTAGATAAATGCTTCTTTTGTCATATGACGACGGTTCTCAATACTAGGTCATGTTTGGAATTCGTTCACTACAATCGGAAACTTTTTCTTTTCTTCATTATTCTAATAAGAAAAACTTACGGTAACATATGTCTCAGTCTGCATCTTTTTCAGATAAGTTCATCAGAGTTCCCTTGTTATCTAAACGATTATATTCATAGCTCAGTTCTTTTCCTTTGCTCTGAGTTACAATACTTCTAATTGCGAATTTTGTTTTCATTGGAAACCATAGTACATTAGGATTTATCCATACAGCGTAAGTGCTGCTCAAGCCATATGGTACATTCCTCATAATTTTTTATCCTACTCACTGTCAATATGATTAATTATGTTAAGCATATGATTGACTAGCATTAGAAATAAACTACAGAATACAAAGCAAATAATATCAACAGCAAAACGTGAAATTCAGACAAGGGGGAAACGGCAGACTTTTGTACTTCAAGTACTTTGTGCTACTTTAGGCGACTTTGCGCTACTTTGAGCTTACTTCAAGTAAAGTACTTTGATGTACTTTTCTACTTCAAGTCTGCCGTTTCCCCCTTGAATTCAGAAATAATAATTATTTGTGCGTTATTATACATTTGCGTTTTTTCAATCCATATGCCATATTAGTTGATTTCTCTAAGCTTAGAATGATATCTCTGATCATCTATTAATCTGTTTGATCTTTTAGAACAAGCGTGTTTAACGTAGATTTAGAGTTAAATTTATCATATAAAATTACCCGAGAAAAGATAATAAAATAATCACAACTCGAAAAAAGCATTGACATCAAAAGTGCCTCTTCTCTTTCTTTTGTTATTCGTCGTTTATTTTTCTTTACTTTTGAATATGTTTGATGAACGTATCTTTTCCATCTGATCTTGTTTTTAGAAATATTTTTTTCATCTTCATAATCCGTTCTTTTCTCACCTGATCGTTGTCTTCTGATGTTATCATCATATTCGTAGATGTTACAGCAAAAAAATACATACAGAAAATGAACTAAAAGTAGGATCACGATCGCATAAGATAGCAAAGTATAGAGATTATCTTAACATTGAAATTCCTTTAATGTGTTTAACCTAAATTCGAATATATAGATAGCTAAAATAATTTTTTCATGTAACCACAGTATTTAACACAATGAATCAAGCAGTAAGAAAAGTGAATTGTACACACTAGACGGTTTTTTAATTAGAGATAAGTATTTGAGTCACTAGAATTAAACCAATTAATCTCATATATTCTGCGTATATTATCACCTATAAATGTATCTTATAAACAAAAAAGATGATCGCCATCAAGGCATAATGATAAGGTCGAATATGCTTCTTTCTATTTGAATACATATTATAATCAAGCCAAAAAGCTCGCAAGTTAAAACTATGTACAGTAATGTTTTTATTCTTACATTACCAAAATTTGAGTATGATTTTTAGGAAGCACTTGAAAATATATGCCACTCAGTTGGTCGCTGCTTCTTTATTACAGATTCCACACATTTCTCTTTTTCTATATTTCTTGATTCTCGTACTTCTTCATTTATATGACCCTCTATTTCGTTATTACTCCATTCGTCTGCTCTTTTACTCTTTTCCTCTGTATGTCTATTGTACAACATTTTACATTGATCGTTTTTTCGATGCACGATTGACCTCTTCTTGTATTATATTTCTTCAAAGGTAATTAATCACTCCCTTTGAAAGCATTGTTCACACCTCAGACTTTCCGTTACATTACATAACTTTTCTGGTAGCGATGAAATAGTGTACGTTGAAAATAATTATTGCAATCTGCTATGAATAAACCATTAAAATGACCTACCTCATATCTTCTACAATCTTGAGTTTCTCCACTGCGTGTTCAATAATTTTTTAAATTCTCGAATTAATAAGATACCCTACTAGATCAATTACTTAAATGCAAAGTTCTTTGAAATCATTTACTGTTTTAGAAAATTTTTTCGAATGAAGAATTGCTGACTGTGTCGTGAACAAATGTACGCTTGTTCCAGAGGTGGGACTTGCCTATGGGTAATCAACCGATCTATTGATACCGAATAGTCAATTTTAGAACTAGTAAATCGATCAATCATTTGTTTGTACTAGAAAAAAATCTATCTTTAAACCATTTTATACCTTTACGAACAAGAGATTTGAATATTAATACATAATAAACTAAGGAAAGGGGAAAATATAGAACGGTTATCGGCCGATCTACCGACTCCATCTCTATACCGGCCTATCGATAGACCAGACGGTCTGAAATACGTGTTGGTACCGATTCCATATTTGTTACACACAATAATTGACATTTGATTTTGAAAAATGATTAAGATAATGATTAACATGGAAAAGAATGAAATGAATGTTAAATTCTACAGCAACTAGGTTGTTTAAAAAAGCATCTGTTGAGAATTCTTTTAACACAAACAACGAAACAGGCTGAGCTATGAACTCTGAACTCAATTTTAGTTCACTTCTGACTATCGACTGCAATTTAATCATGTAATACTTCAATTGCTTCTTAAAGGCATTTTTTGGAATTGAATATCTCCTTTTTTTTTAGATTTTGTATTATAAATCAATATGTGATATTCGAAAGCGAATCATCCTCTGAAGAACAAATTTCACCAAGTGGCGGTGATGCCATACAATGAAAAAATTTGATACCCGTCAGAAAAACATGATCTTCACCATCACCACCACCGCCGCCTAGACTGATTCAGGAAAATAATGATACAGAAAATGAATCAGGCGAATTAGCAGATAAACCAGGTGATTATTCAAATGAAATGGATGATATTGCTGCTCAACTTAATTATGATTCGGCTGAAGCTGAAAAGAAGAATTGCTGCCCAAATCTTGAAAGGAAAAGTGTTGAAAAAAACTGACGAAAAAAAATTAAATTTCGAGCATAAAAACTCGAACGTTGCTATATCGCATTTCCAAAAAGAAAATCCTGAAACTTGATTCGATTATTCTCCAATCATTTCATTTAATTGAGAATACACTACAAAATTGGAAAGTGATATTGCTTAACTATAGTGCATTGAAATTCAGATACTCATTCGACGTATAAACGAGTTTCATAGTAGATAAAAAGACAGAAATAAAATAAAGTCAGATGAAGTTTATCTAATTGTTTGTTTCTATTGAAATGCATGCGTAATTCAAGTTCGAATAATATTGTTTTTCTATATAATTACATAAAAATCTATTATGGTTAGGCCATGTGATTTAAGACGAAACGCAACAGACATCTGGCGTCATCATTTGGGAGCAGCTGAATGGATTGAATAAAAAATATCCAATAAAATACTTTTCTTCTGCATCATGAATGAAAGTAATCATCGTCGCAACATTTTACCGGTAACTGTTATTTGTTTGTTTCGCTTCTCTCTCGTCATGATCGCGCCGTCAAACAATTACTTTTTCATTGATTGCCTATATTGAAATTTAATTTTTTCTCTCGTTGTTTTATATTAAGCATGATTGATTAATATAAGTATTCAGAGATAGTTGTTACTGATGATAAGCTTTTTTTCACTTACATCTTGTTATCTTAACCATTCACTCTTTTCTCTAACTCACCATGTTCATATTTGTGTTAAAGGTGGTTTATCAATGTTTTATGTAAAGGTCCAATTATGTTTCTTTTTTGTTAGATTTATTTGCAAATTTTCGTTGAAAATGAGTCATAGGCGAAAAATGTTTCTAGATCTTCCATCAATATTTATTTTTGCAGTTTCATTTGGCAGAGGCATCTATTTTTATGATATGATTGTTCGACAGTATTTTCAGTTGTTTGATAATAGGAGAATAGATGCGAAAAAACTTTTTTTTTATTACAGAAGAACACATTCAGTTTGTGAATCAGCTTTTTATAACTAAATCTGCATACATTTAAAAGCTTGTAATTTAATATCGGATTTAGGTTGCAGTTTTCGAGTATTAATAGTTCTCTTTTAATATGTATGTTTTCACGTGATTCCAATAATCATTTTAAAAAAAACCATAAGCCAAATGTTGAAGTTATTTCAAAGTATAGTGTTTAGTTGAAGTTTTTTTCGGCACGTTTTATTTAAGAGAGATGATTGTCTATACGAAAAAGTGTTCTTATGATTCGATTCCAAACTATCGTCCAGGTTTATCTAAAATTTTAATTTGTTTATTGATAAGAACAAAAAGCAATCATAGATGATTGTATCTTCGTAGATTTGTATTGACTATATAAAATAATACGATGACACTCAACGGTTTTGGTACGTAAAATAAATTTTATAATAAATTTTTTAAAATATTTATCTTATTGTAGGGAACGGAACCGTTGTTGATTCTCATATTCCAATTGATTGTATTCGTCGGCGTAAAGAACAATTGAAGAAAGAAATTCAGGTTTACTCGATCGTATGTGAATAAATAAATTGTATTACGTATGTCTAATATTTCTAGGAAATCCGTGAAAAAATTGCTCAATGTGAAATTGAAATGTCCATGATTCAAACTCATAGCAATGATGAGTATGTATAACTATAGTATTAATAATATCTCCTTTAATGCATGCATCAATGGTTCAAATAAATATAATAGAGTAAAAAGAAAAAAGAAACTATATAAGATCAGATATATCGAATGCTTTCGTTATTCATATAAATTGTGATGAATAATAAAGAACTAAAATAGATAATACGTCACTTTTTTCCCGTAATTATGACACAAATATTCGTTATGCATTCATGTGTTATCATCAACGTATTTTAATGGAGAATAATCAAGAAAAAATGTCGGATTTTATCCGTTAAGAATAGAAATAGATCATCACTGAAAAGCAAGTAATTGCAAAATAAACGCAGAAGTATAACAAAACAGTTCGTATTAATATGAAATGAACAATTCATAATAATTTTTATATTGATGAAGCAAGACCCTCGTCTTTTTCTAATTTCATGCATAAACAGTTAGCGACTATTCATGCGCATCATGTGAAAAATATCACTATAGTTGAGCCATTAAAACCCATACCGTACGTGTTTTATTATACAACACCAGTTGCCAATAAAAAAAGTCGATTGTTAAGGTTTTCTGCATAATTTACTTTTATTATTCAAGTAAATGTTTCTTTTCGTGTCATAGTCGTCGTAATACAAATGCTAAACAATGGTCAGTGGCTAAAAGAAAATTTAATGATAATGCAAAAGAAGTAAAATATCCATGAATAGAAAATCATTTAAAATTTTTTATGAATAAATTGCAGGGTATTCGGTGGCTTACTGATAATAGTCTTATTCAAAACACACCCGAACACACAGCTGCTTTTCTTTTCAATGAAACTGGCTTGAGTAAACGAGCAATCGGTGATTATCTTGGAGAAAAGTATAAATTTTGTTTTAAAAAAATATTCATCTCTATTTTATTAATACATAGAGATAATTTTCACATTGAAGTACTTAAACGTTTTGCTCATATGCATGATTTTTTTTCTATGGAAATTGTTGATGCGCTCAGGTATGTTAGTGTAATTGAATATTTTCTTTTTTCTCAATCGAATAAGAGTGATTTTTTTTCTAGACGATATTTATTTACATTTATTTTGCCGGGTGAAGCACAAAAAATTGATAGGATTATGGAAGCATTTGCTCAGCGTTATTATGAATGTAATCCACATATTTATGCGACTGCTGGTAAGTTAAAGAGTATCAAGGATCAAAATTATATTTAATTAAGTTCTCTTTGTATATTAACAATAAATAGAAGTATGCTATATTGTATCATTTGCTATCATTATGTTAAACACATCATTACATAATAAAAGTGCTCGTTTGGGAGGTGGTCCATTTACTTATGAAAAATTTGTTAACAGTTTAAGCGAAACAATTGCTCGTCATCAAATACCAGATCAAAATATAATCAAAGTATAAATTTCTTCAATATTTTTACAGTGTTTTTCTATTTAAAGAATCGTATTTTAGAATATTTATGATAGTATCAAAAATAATGAGTTGAAATTTCCCGACGATGATATTAATTTAACTATGCCAGTATTTGGCAGTGATTCAACAATAATTAAAGAAGGATGGTTATGGAAACAAGGTAAAATATTAGAAAAATTCTATGCATAATTAAATTATAAATAATTTAGGTGGTCGTGTTCGAAATTGGAAACGAAGATGGTTTATTATAACTGACGGCTGCCTTTTCTATTTTGAATCAAGAACAGTAAATAACTTAGATTGCAATATACCGTACTTCTTAAACATTGATCATACAGAATTTATTTCGATTTTTTTCACAGTGGCTATAAGTATAAGTGATCAAAATTTATTTCTAACAAAGTTTTGAGAAGAATAAAATTTGTTTAGTACATCAAAAATCTAAATTTTCAGCACTAAGGAATACAAAATCAAAAACTTTCTTTTATATTAAACAGCATAATAAAGTAATCGATGCCGTAGGAAATCTTGCATTCTGTGTATTCGAAAGAAACTATTTTTTATTAAAGATTTCAAGGCTGAAAAGTAGATTCGAATTCTTTTGAGAATATTTCTAATAACTTTATTGACCCAAAATCTTCGTCAGAAAAAAATTTCCACTTCTCAACGTTCGTTACTATTATGGGAACAATTGAAATGAAGTTGATTTGATCAATGTTTGAAGTTACTATATGAAGAAAATAAATGAAATAAACTTTTATAGGAAGTTGATAGTCCTCGTGGTGTTATACCACTTGTTGATGTTGCTGTTCGAGAAATAGAAGATGATCGTACGAAACCGTTTTGTTTCGAGCTTTTCCCACTGACTGGAGATAAAGTTAAAGCAAGTAAACCAGCACCAGGCGAAGTTGGAAAATGGATTGAAGGTTAAACATTTTCATGTTTTGTCAAGTCTCAACTAAGCTTTTTTCTCTTTTATGTTTCTTTTAGGTCATCATACAGTTTATCGTATGTCAGCATTATCAGAAGATGATCGTAAAGATTGGATTCGTGCATTACGTATAGGAAGTCAAAATCAATTACCTAAACAAAGATTATCTTAGTATTGATTTTTTTTATTGTTCGATTTGGTGCTACTTACTAATCAGTGTCTGTAAAAATTTTCATTCCATGTATATGTGCTTGATGGCTGGTCCATGCAATGTATCTTGTCTTCTTTTTTTCTTTTCTTTGGTACGACGCCCGGTGCGTTGTTTGTGTATAGAACAGTGTTTCTTTTTTTTCGTGCTCTCTCAATCACATTTTTTCCTTTTATATATATATATATATATATATATATATATATTTCTCTCATTCTGTTGTCTTTAATGTACAAAAGAAAATACTATTGAACAATAAGTGATGATAAAAAGATATAAGAAATCAATGATTCGTTTTTTTTCAGATATCTATAGAGCTAATCATGCCACTTGAAAGTACTATTATATGGTGAGAACGAGAATTAGTGATTTATAAAATGATTGAAAATCTTGATATTCCTGTTTTTTTCAAATTTTAGTGTTGATAATAGTGATTTTATGCGTGATGGAGATTTTATTCCAACGAGAATGCAAGCACAACAAGATGCTGTTTCGCTTATATTTCATGCTAAGACAAGATCAAATCCAGAAAACAATGTTGGATTACTTACACTTTCTGAGTAAAGAATGTCCAAATGTTTTTTTGTTTATTTGTTGTCTGTGATGTAGACATAACCAATATTATTGTTATTTTAGTGGTCGAGTTGTTACTCAATTGACCAGTGACGTTGGCAAAGTCTTTTCAAAGTTACATCTATTACCAATAGAAGGAAAACTTGACTTTTGTAAAGGCATTAAAGTAGCAAATGTAAGTTTTTATTTTAAAATGGAACAAAATTTTTAGGTCGAGATATGCAGATCAAATTTTCTCTCGTTATCTTGTATTCTTAGTGAGACAACTTTCTAATCTTTACTCTATTCTAATTCATATAATAGGTTCTGTTACGTTATTTTGCAAAATTTTTATCACATTCTTCTTTGGTGCTATTTTACTTGGAAGATTTGTAAAGAAATAAATAAAAAATAAATCGTATCACAGTAGAAATTTGACTAGTCGAATAACTGAATCATACACAGTAATTTAGATTAAATCCAATTAAGAAATTTCCACCATGTTTTATGGCTTTTCTTTCGATAAGAAAAATGTTCATACGAAAAAAAACAATTGTTTAAAAATGATGGTTTCATTAATGTTGACTATCTTGTGTGGCAAAGCATCTTTGATTGGAGTTCTCTTTTTTTGAAGATCATTTCTAAGATAAAAAAAATAACTAGTTTGAAAGAAAGTTTGAGATGAAAATTCGTTTATGCTAGTTTTTTAAAATGTTTTTCTAGTGAGTGAGTAATTATTATCAAAATAATAATCAAAGACTAAATCATCAGAATATTTCTATAGAACTAATCATTTTTTCTTATGTATAGTACAAAAAAAATCATGCTCTGAATTAATGGATCTTTTTTGTTTTCATTGAAATAGTTAGCATTAAAACATCGACAAGGTAAAAATCATCGACCTCGTATTGTTGTGTTTGTTGGTAGTCCACTTGAAGTTGATCCTAATGAATTTACTAAACTGGCAAAACGATTGAAAAAAGAAAAAGTATCAATAGATATTGTTGTCTTTGGTGAAGAGGTAGGACTTCAATTAAATATTATATACGAATCCATCTACTATATTAATATTTAGTCTTCTCGTGAGAAATTCGAAGAATTTATTACTGTTATAAATGGAAAAGAGAATACCAAGTAAATAATATCTTAAAACAATTGAGTATATAATCTGTTTGAATTTATTTGAGCTGTCACTTGATTTGTGTTCCATCCGGAGCTAATTTACCTGATACGATTATTAATACACCAATTATTCAAAGTGAAGATGGTTCAGGTTTACCAAATGGATATGCAGCAAGTGCTTTCGCTTTTGGAGTAAATCCTGAAGATGATCCAGAATTGGCTATGGTTAGTTGTTTTATCTTTTAATCTTTGATTGTGCAGCTTAGCTGTATATATATATACATGTTGACTAACGTTTTAAAGATATGACAACTTATGTAGTCTTCGCATTTTCTTTGATGTTTTTACTGTTATAGCATCATAGTCAAATATCACTGAAATACTTGACAAAACCCCCCTAGAATTATTGTCAATTTGAGAAGTTAAAATTACTGTTAAAGCTCTTATCTTACAGTAGACTAGGGATTCAATTTTATAAGGTCCCACATTGTGATGAAAATCTTTAAAGTTATTCATAAAACTACACAAGAAATTTCAGAAGCTCTCACTCAAATTAACGAATACTGAATGAATTGTATACTTTTGGCTTTAGCCTAATACAGGCTAATTTTTTTCTCTGGTAAACATTACACGATCTATAGTCTCTATGAACAAACCTAGATTTGCTTATCATTTTTACAAATATATCGTAACCAAATAATCGAGATTGTTTTTTTCTTTCTAATGACGATTTTTCATTATTGCTATAGGCTCTCCGTATTTCCATGGAAGAACAACGTCGTGTACAAGAAGCTGAAATTGGTCGTGGTACAGTTGGCGAAGAAGCTCAACTAAATCCATCAACAAATATAGCAAGTTCAGGTAAAACATATTATAATGTTCTTTTTTTCTATCATAATGCAGTGCAACAAATAGATGCTACTGTAAATACTGCAACAGGTAATAATGACATGGATGTGACTCAACTTACAGAAGATGAACAAATTGCTTTGGCTATTGAAATGTCTATGAAGCAAGCTGCAAGTGGTCGTATGTCATTTTCATTTCACTAATTTCATAAAAACTACTTTGTTTTACATTCTAAGATACGAATGATGTCGAAATGAAAGAAGAAACAGCTGACTCTGCTGGTACTCTATCAAATATTCAACAAACATCGAAAGTAAACTTTATTAATTCTCTTATTTACTAATGAATAATATCTTTACTCTAGACAAATGAAAACACGCAGCAAAATACTGATTCATTTGCAGTTTCTCTCAATGATCCGCAATTTTTACGTGATGTTCTTCGAGATTTGCCTGGAGTTGATGTTGACAGTGAAGCTGTACGCGCAGCTCTTGAACAAGTACATCAGCAGCAACCAAACAAGGATGCAGAAGATAAAGATGACAATGACAAATCAAATGTGACAAAAAAGAAAAAAGATGAAAAATAGACAAAGAAATAAAGCAGACATTGTAGAATGAAACAATGCATTATTTAATCGTGGAGCATTTCAGTAGGGTTTTTTAATGTTACTATGTTATTTTTATGTTTATTTCTTCCTGCATGTTCTCTTTCATTTTGCTCATTGAACCAGCTAGAAAACGTCACATCAACCTATCATATCAACTATCAAAATATAGTCTTGAACAAAGATTTCTGACAATCATCTAATCATTTAAATTTCACTTGAATATTGTGTTTCATGTTTTCGAATAAGTCGAATACAAATTATCAAATGAATATAATTAGAAAATTCAATTCTTTTTTTTCCACGTATCTAAAAAAGCTCTACAGTATATTTATTAGTTAAAAATCATTGAAGGAGTATGCAAAAGAAATGTGTTGTCACGAAATGAAATCTGTTATTTCTCAAAACAAACCAGTCTTTTCCCTTTCATCTATTATGACATATATTTAATTGTTAAAGTGAATGGGTCATTTCAAATAATTGAACCAGTTATGGTGCATATCTTGCGTAACCATAAAAAACAGGTACTGATAAAATTTGTTTTGTCTATTCATTATCGAAAGAAAAAGAACCATTTGAATGAGAGAGAGAGAGAGCGAAAGAGAAACAACACAAGTCAAGAAAAAAAACCGAAACTTAATCAAATGAAGAAGAGATAAAGAAGCCAAATGGAAGTAATAGTTTGTATATTTGTGCTCGATTCGCTTCAATGGAATAAACGAGACAAAAAAAACAAGTGATTTGAATAGTTTGTTGGTCATTCAAAAAGAAAACTAGCGTTCTATTTTGCTTTTCTGTATCATCACAAAATGCATGTCGAAGAATAAAAACGACATCTAGCTTTAATTTGTCTTGGGATAGTCACTGACAATACTACGTTGTCCACTATTATAAGCACTATTTTCTGTTGGATAGTATTGCTCTCGTCTACCACAATCAGGACAAAGAATATCAGGGCCATCTGTAAGAAAACCTCGACCGACGAGTGAACTTCGGCAACGTTGACATACGAAACAATCATTGTGCCAATGACGGTCTTCAAATGATATGTAACGTGTACCACCAATACCTAATGAATAAAATAAAGGATTTATAAATAGAAAATTTTTCTCTTTTAATTTTACCAGTAATTGGTTTACTGCATGAAAAACATTTTTTAGCATAAATACGAGCAAAACAATCAGCACAATAAGGATGATCTTCTCGTGATGTAAATCGTTGACCAGCTAAAGAATTTTTACAATTTGTGCAAGTAAAACACTCACGATGCCTAAAGAGAACATCATAAAAAAATAGTCAATTAATTTATAAGCATACCATGGTTGATTTTTGTATGTAACACCACCTTGGGCAATCACCTATGTTGAGAAAAAATAAATAAACAATGATGAAAGTTGGGGAAAAGCAAAAACTCAAATCTCTTTTGAAGTTAAACATTATCTTAAAAGGATTTTCTGCAATTTCTATGAACTATTCTAATATGACACTATAGTTTTTATTCGAGCGAAATAAAAGCAATATTTATGAAACATGTTATACTTGAAAGTTGTAAATAATTAAGATGTTCTCTTTAAAATACATATATATATATAGATTCGTTATTTAATTATATTTGTAAGACAATATTAAAAAAGAACGACTGTTTTACTATTATTTAAAGGTGAAGTAGATTTAAATTTTAAATTTTAAATATTGAATCATTCAAGTGAATCGAAAATCTTCCGTCATCATGCGCTAAGCTTTCAAAATACAATCTGCCTTTCTTAGCATAAACAAATTGTAGTTAACATTTGTCAGTTAAAAAACATGTCGATTAATCTGTTCTGATGCAATAGATTACCTTGTCTGCAACATTATATGATTAGTAAACTATTGTATAGTAAATGTCTAACAGTTAAATTATCTAACTAAAGTAATAACATAAGTTGAATTTTACTTTTTCACATTTATTTTTTTAAGAAATAAAAATGAAATTATTCAACCGAATAAAAGCCTATTCAATGTTCAATGAAGCTAATTTGTTCAATTTTTTCATCTACAATGAGAATCTTTCATATAATAAAACGACTTTGAAATAAGACTCCGTGTAGATTTTTAGATCTAATTGAACTATGAACAGTTTGAAAAGTGCACGTTTCCTCTATTTATTGCTCTTGAAATATAACACTTTTTTTACAGTAGTACTTTTAGACTAATACGGTATTTCTAACAAGAACAGTAGAAAAAATTATCGTTCAATGTAAAACTGAAAATTTCTATAAATATAAATTGCTACGAGAGTAGTTCGTGACGAACATTTCAATTTTTCGGAATTTTTTTTCTATCCCGAAGTACAAACACAAAAATCGAACAATTGATATGAGTAATATAAAAGACATGCTATATCTATGGATGATGTTTTATGATTTGAAAAGCAACAAGCTCTTTAAAAAATGCAATTATAAACTGACTATTCTTATCTAGATCAATTTCAATGTAGTGTTCAACTGAAATTTTTAGATCAGTTTTACTGATGTGCCTTAAGAGAATTCATTGGAATAGTACTGGAGTGGCAAAGTATTTTGGTAGCAATCAGCTCAATACATGAATACTCTTCTTCGTATTCATAATCTATTTGACTGTGCGTAATAGACAGCATTCCAATTGGCAAGCGATTTTTCAGTTAAAAAACATCTTCTGCCAATGCTACGATTTCAGATCTCTGAAAAATATATATGATGCAAGAAATTGCCTGGATGAAATTTCCACCAAGTACTGTTATTATACTCAAATATCTGATTTTCAAGTGATTTTTATTTTTGATAGTCATCCTTTTTTCAGATTGATTTACTAAAAGGAACATCGCTCTTCTCTTTGTTAGCAAATTTTATCTTATTGTATGATAGAAATTCATATTATGCGTATGCATCTTTACGTAAAAAAGGTACGATTTTCACATAGATTAATAGAGTGACTTGAATTTCACTCAAGTAACGTAATTCTTTAGACATTCTTTATGAATAAATTCTTAATACCTTAAGGCAGCGAGTGCATTTTGTTGCAAAATTCTCTTCATAACATGGAACACAATAGCTTTTTTGATCTTTTGGAATAAAACTTTTCGTTCCAATAGGTTGTGAACATGTATAACAAGTAAAGCAATGCTCATGAAATTGTTGTCCACGATATTCAAGTTTTTTAGTACCTAGAAACGAAAAAAAAACATTTCCTTTTCATTATTATTTATATTAGCATGAAAAATGTTTTTAACCTGGCTTGAATATTTGATTACATTTATCACAACGCGAAGCAAATTGTTGGTTGTAACATTCACCACAATAAAGTTGATCATTTTTGCAACCGAATGGTTTATCAATCAGTGGTGTTTTGCACATTGAACAAAAAAAACATTTTTCATGCCAATGACGGTCTTTATATGAAAGATCCTTCGAAATGAAATAGATAAACTTGATCATATTCATATATCTTCTTTTAAATACTAACTTTTGAATCAGTACCAATTTTTCGTCGACATTCTTCACATGTATTAGCAAAACGATCTTCATAACATTTAATACAATACGGATGTTCATCTTTAAGTATATATCGTGAACCCGATAGATTTCTTTCGCAGTAATAACATGAGAATTGTTCTGAACCGGCAGTTCCATAGGAACTATATGGGTATGATGGATGACCATTACTAATGCGAGCATTCGCATTCATTGAACGACTATAATCTCCATCACCATTGCTATAAACAGCCTAAAAGAAGAAAAAAAATCAGTTTCTGGTTGATGTTGTTTATCAAAAGAAATCCTTGTATGCAATTTTCTTTAGCTTATCTTCTTGTATATCGCCGAACAACATTTTTATCTGGTTGTCATCTGCAAGAAACATGTATTATTCTCGTATTACAGCACATATGCTTTATTATAGAAATGTATAAAGTAAATTATAATATATGCTATTCTTTTTTTTTTGAGACAACAATAAATTAAAAACGAAATAACAAGAAAGATGCTTGATGAGTATATAGTTTGTATTCAATTTTAAAAAATAAAAAAAGTTTAATGAAACTATAATAAATACTAACTTGATCTTGTTGGTCATCCATGTTTTTATATTTTTGTTTTCAATAAAGGATATAATTCACAATAATGATTGCAATAACAACAATAGCGATGATCAGGATAAAAATCACATTGTGTGAGTCGACAACTCACTGGGACATGCAAACATACACGTTGACTCTATCTTTACTTCTTCTGTATAGTAGATCAGAGAGAGAGAGAGAGAGAGAATATAGAGCTATTTGTCGTTCTTTCTCTGTCTATTTGAATTTATCTGTTCTCTTCTTTTGTCCTTTTTTCGGAGTGTTATCGGACGAGGCAACAAAAGAACGATCTAATGTTAGCAATAATAATAGTAGTAGACGTTGTAGTAGAAGAAAAGAAAAAGAAAAAACCTAGACCAAACGATATGTCGATAAACTATGATAAGGTAGGGGCCACAAGAAAAAAGTCAACGAGACCAGTTGTGTTTGGCTCGCATACAAATAGCACATTCAAGCATGTTGAGAGTGAGAGAAAGAAAAAGAAGGGCAGAAATGAGTAGGAGCGCGCAATGAAAGCAAAAGAATGACACGTTAAAGCTTTATGGCGATATTGCATCTCTTTCTTTCTCACACACCCATGCAATGTTTGATAAGATGAAATTCTTGCTCACGGCAGAAAGAATGACGATGGTCACCTATTCTCTCTTTCTGTTTTAGATTTACTACACAATGTCGTTTGTGTATATAGAGGTGCGGTCACTAGACATTTTTCTTTTTCGTTTGTGTATGTCTATAGATGTTATTATTATAGAAGTACCAGCATCACCACCATGAGCAGTCATTCGAAGACATACAAACGAAAAACGATGAAGCAAAATAATAACATTGAGACATGCTTAGAGCTTTTGTCTAGGCGTATTCACGGAAGAAGAACTTCAAGCATTTTTTTCCCGTTAATAATAGTTTTAAAATATAAAAAAGAACTGCAATTCATACTGGCATATTTATGTATAATATACTTGATAAACTAAAAAAGAATGAACAATGCATGGCTATCAATGAATGAAATTAGAATAATATCAGATATCCATATGATGAGGACTACGTTGATCTCTATGTTTGAATTACAAATGACTTATTTGCTTTTGGATGTTGTCTAAGTGTCAAATATTAAGAAAAAAAAATTGCAAAAAGTATAAGTACACTGAACTTTGTGATTCATATCAAATAGTAATATTTGCTGATACAAAAGCTTAAATCATAAATTTGATTTCTACTTCATCTTTCATAAACAAGCAAAGTTAAAAATAAATTTGTGCTATTTTATTTATTGATATTTATTTGGGATATAAATTTTGATTGAATAGTAAAATGATCTTCAACAGACAAGGTAATAAAATTAAGTATTCCTGCTGATAGGATATAAATAAAAAGTAAATATTTTGATAACGTCTATAAATTTCATAGATACATTGCAGTTCTTATCGAAACTATGCCGGTAAATTATTTCTGTTTTGTGCGATAAGCAAATTGAATTGTTTCAAATATTGTAAGACAGCTATTGTTATGACATATATATATATATATATATAGCTCGATATCTGTATGGAATATAGTATTAGCATCCAACTTAACTGATTAAATATATCTATGAAATTATCTGAAAATTACTTACGATGAATAAATTCATTTTAAATTTAACATTAAATATTGTTTTTTGTAAAGAAAAATCACGAAATATAATGAGACAAGATTTGATGACTAGAATTCTTTACATCATAGTCTCGATATCATTTTTTTCATTTATCCAAAAATCAAATTTGAGTATAATTATTCTTATATCTAACAGATAAATGTACTTTGAATGATATGCTTTTCTGAGACTAAGCATCTACTATATAAGAATTAAAACTTAACATACTTTTGCACTTCGTCGATCATCACCACCAACGCTGTGTGTAGACTTTGGGCGTTCATTTACATAATAGGTCTGTTCTTCATAAATATGTTGATCTTGTTGCTGTGGAAAACTATTTTTGGAGCCACCAGAATTTACTGTTCGATAAGTTGGATTTATTCCAGTATATGCCATGATATGAGAAAAATCTAAAATAGATCGAGAAAATGAACAAAAAAAATAAAATGAATGTCAAAATCCCGATGAAACTCTCTCTTTTTCATTTCAACTACTGCATTTCTTCGGTTGCTCCTTTGATCAACTCGACTATGTTTTTGAAGCCATTACCGTTTGTGTTTTTCTTTGCACTTTCGCTCTCATTCTCAATGACTATATATTCAATCTGAAAAGTTTCTTTTTTTTCCTGCTACTCTTTCCTTTTTGAGAGCTTGCAAGAACGCACACACACACACACGCGCGCGCGCGCATGTGTGTATGTCTTTGATGAAGAGTATTCTAAGTATAAAAAAAACAGACAGAAATGAAAAAAAAATCTTAGAAGGACATGCTGTAGCTTTTACAAGCAATAAAGTTAAATCATGCCAACCAGACCCGGTGCATTGTGTCTTTATCAAACGCGACGACATCATAAATAGTTTGAAGAAAAACTGCAAAAGAATCAAATGAAGGCAACACATTGCATGGTTAGTAGCATATTGACAATAGAACGACAGTAACAACAACAACAACCGAATAGCTCCTGTAAAGTGTTTGTCCGGATTTGCTCGCGTATATATGAGAAATGAAGAAAAAAACACTAAATAGCAGTTAACAGACTGTAAACATTAATTTATGATATTCAGTGCGATTGCGGCATAATTTTCATTTTACCAATGCCGAATGTATGTGTAGGAAATGTCAAGGAAAAAAAAGTAACTATATATTTGCAAAAGAGAAAAGAAAAATGAGTCAGTAAAAACTCTGTCATGTACGGTTACTCATCAAAAGTAAGTAAGATCACTTATATCCTCATCAATGGGCAAAGTAATAATATAGCAACCTTCACATGATGCTATAATATTTCTTGAATATACATATGGTGATTGGTAAAAAGATCCATATAAAATAAGGCATATAAATTCTCTGATGATTTTCTTGTTTCAATCAAAAACAAATATTAGTTACACGAAGTAGAGAATAACAATTAAAACGAAGAAAAATAAATATTGCTAATATTAATATTTTGTTCGTGCACCAGACACAGAAAAAAGATTCGTCTATTTGAACCGATAAAAGACAAAAAGAAAAAAAACTATTTAAACAGATGTAGTCCGCTTGACACCTTTTCGTATACTTCGTTTTGAAATATGATTAGTTATTTGTCTATCTGCATCTAAATTCGGTAGGACTTTGATATTTGCTATTGTTAGTGCTGGTGTTGTTGGTCTTGAATTAGCTAGTAATTGTGCTTGGGATTTTGATTTTACCATTTGTGTGAGTAAATCCATATCTTCTGGACGAATTAACACACGACAATAATCCCCGTAGAGAAGTGTTGGTGATCGGGGTGGAAATATTGAATAACATGCTTTATCAACATGTTGAAGAGATGATAGTACAGATTTATCAAATGGTATACATCGTCTTTCATAATTTCTATGCTGTTTAGGCGTTGAAGAGTCTGCTGAATTATTTGTGATCCCATATTGATAACGTTCACTCTTTGAATTAGAATAATGATTCTGATGTAATTGATAATTTGAACAATTTGCTGCAGACTTTGTATTATTATTATTATTATTATTATTATTATTATTATTATTATTAATTGTATTCAATGAGGCAAGATTCAATGGAAGGGCTGTTGTCATTGATAAACAATTTCCCATCAATTGACGAGTACGCAAACGTAATTTCTCTTGTCTTCGAACAAGTGCACGAAAACGATATATAAACCAATAGACCGTTAAAACACCAGTTAATTCTTGTAGAACAAAGGAAAAAACTGCGCAAAGAAATGAATATCCGTAGGAACATCTCATCACCGGATAATCTTGATCAATTTTAACCGATTCTTCAGTTGTAATTGAAACGTATAATGTAACACCAACCATAGTAAGTAAACCTATAAAATAAAATTATATAATAGAACATTAAAAAATTAGAACTATAGATATAATGAACAGACCTGAGATAGAAAAAAGAAGACCTGAGATGAAAAACACGGCCTTTCGACGTCGTTTGCAGAGACCACGCGTAAATAAAAAAATTGCGATAATTAAAAGAATGGATGCCGCTGTGAAACACGCCATACTTGGTGCTGATCGATCTAAATAAATCATCAATTGCTTTTATGTGTAGATTTAAAAAACAAGATCTTACATGAAACAGCTTTAAAGCCTTTTTCTAATTTTGCTTCTGCTTTAGAATATCTAACGAGATCACAGTTGTATGGAGCATCTGAAAACAATAGAAGAAAATCTTAAATGTTCGTAAACCCAACAAGCTTATTTTATTTTATTTACCAGTACTCTCTTTGATGCATTCTCGCCAAAGACCAATACGATGATATGTAAAATTTAAAACTCTTGTATCGCCTGCTTTTACTATTGGATTTGGTGATAGTCGTGTTTGCTTTCCATAAATCCAATAGTCAGTTAGAAGACAAACGGCCATAAGTGCTGGCGCAGTATAGGCACTGACCGAAGCGGAAACCATTAGTGCCCTATGATGAAAATTACCCATCCATGCGCCGTCAATGCGCAATCGGGAATGGGACTAGCGTTATTATTAACTGGTAACTATAATAGAAAAACAAAAAGGAAGATTAAAAAGTTAAGTGTAACAAGACTCAAAAATAGAAAAGATGCTAATGTGTCAAATCATTTTGAACGCAAGCACACTCATTCATCCCACATACTCAAGGTAAAAAACAAGGCCGAAGAGTTTATAGAAAAAAATAGCTATTGTTGTCCGCTTTTGTCTTTATCTCCATTCTGAGTAAAAACACTTGGCACACAACAGTCTCTCTCTCTCTCACACACACACACACACACTTTTGCCGCTCTTTTTGTTCGAATTATTATTTATGACTACTGAGCATACACAAAATACACAACGGTCCCGCCTTGCGTTTGAAGTCGTTCGTTTCTCCGCTATCATCACAGTTCTTGAGTTAATACATTATACACGAAAAAATAGAGAGATGCATCTTTGCTTAGACTCAAAAAAAGAAAGAACCACAGAGAATGGAAAAGACAGAAATATTTTATTAGTAGCTATTTCTTTTCACGCACTCTCACGAGTGGTCCATCTCGATCGAGCGCAAAGCGATGTAAACTTACGATCGGATCATTCTCCTTCTTTTTTTTTATCATCACTAATAGTACCACATATAAAGAAAATTACATTTTTTATCTCGCGCTTGCTCTCTTTTTTATTCTTCTTCGTTTCCCTATTTTTTCTCTGTGTGACTATCTATATGTATGAGCATCGTGTATAATAATAATGACAGTTGCATCGACGAGAAAAGATGAGTAGACACTTTTGACCAATTGATCGGAAGATTAGACTGATTCTTGCATTGTGTCTCGAACAATGGTTTCTTCCTCACATTTTTGTCTATCGTCCTAGATCAACATTACTAACAAGATGCTTAACGACACTATCTATAAGTTCAGAATGCGATGAACACAACAATCATACATGTACTTATGAAACGAATATATTCTACAAAAATAAATATTTCGATAGTATAATGTTAAAATAAAAACATAAGATATGCTAAAGCTTGATTGTAGCTTTACAAAAGTATTATTAAAATGATTTCTGTTCGTCTATGATTGAATTCTGATCCAATAAATATTATTAATAAATTACACTAATTGGCTTGAATTTTTCACCTTTCGCTATTAGTAAAAAAACATACTCCAGGTTTTGATCATATATGTGAAATTTCTAAAAAACCTGCCTAAGGATCTATTTCGTACCTATCTTTATCCATTAAAATTATTTGTGATAATAACAGTTACATATGATATTTTTAGCACCACATTGAATATGTATTTTATTCAATAGTAGATGACTGATTACTTATTTCATTGCAATAATGTTGAACATGCGATATTACTTGTAAAAGATGACTTATTGAATAAGATGTCTTTTTTTCCTCAATAGAATCAATTGTGTAAAGATTTTTGAATAGTACTTAGCGAAAGGAAAATTGTCTTATTATACAGGAAAAGACATGTACGATTTATTATTAGTGATATATTTTCAATCATCGATATTCTTTTAAATCATTTTGAACATATTCTTGAAATAGTCGTACTATCAATTATACTTCAAAGCTTATCCAAGGAGAACTTCAAAAATGAAACACTTCGAAAATAAAAAGAGAATTATGCTAGATGATATCGTTAATGTGAACATACAAATGAATACTGTTTGACAAGCAATCTTTTTTTTAACATAAACTTTTTTCTCTGTTTATTCAAGTTTTTTAAGCAACGCTTCTTTTACTTTACAAGGTTTCAGACTACTTTAAAAATACAAGTACTAGTAGCCTTGAAATAAAACTTCTATTTTTAACTTAGCTTTAATGTAAACTGTTAGTCTCTTTAACTCGGTGCTTAGAATAACCGAAAATATTGTAAAGCTTGGCATTACTTTATTATTATTAACTACATTTCACTGATTGAAGTCTACAAGAGTATAGCAGAATAGCTGAGATTTATTTTTCATCGTTTCTATAAATCTGTCTGGACGACAACAGAGTCAGTGTTGGAATTCACATTACCAAATACACTTCCTTAGCCTTTCAACAGAAAAATAACAACAGATAGGTTCTGATTTGAAAGAAGACGAATAAATATTTTTTCAAAAAACCTTAAGATAATCAATGTATTGTACAAGATAGATTGTACGATTTAATACAAGAAATTTTCAAGCAGTCGAAATTAGTTTTCGATAAAATCTCTTAACATAATAGCTTACTGTTACCGAGTGATATTTATCGTTTTGATGTGGTCTCGAGTATTTTCATGTATACACATTTCAAAGAACGATGAATGATAGCTTGCAATGAAAATATTTTCAAGAATATGTTTAAGAGTTGCATCGCAGTCATTGAAGACATGTTTTTCAATTGTTCATATTATATATCGGAGCAAAACATTTTCCCGAAGAAAGTTTAGAGCTTTATCATGATTCTAAAATCTTTTGTCTTAATTATTAAATAAACTATCATTATTATCGTCAACAATTAATAAATTTATCATTTTTATCCAACTACAATCATCTTAGATAGAGGTATTTTTATACACGACAGCAGTATCGCACTGCTCTTCCTTCAATTCTATTTATAAGTTTAATATCAGAAATTAGGAAATTGAGGATCAGTGTACTAGATAACAAGAACTCTGTATATATCCACTTCTGGCAACCCGCAGTTGATATTAAGCGTATTGCTCTATCGGCTCGTATTAGATAAACAATCAATGTAGCTTTGAATATTATAAGATGACGGGACATTTGTCAGTCAATCACTAGAATATTTTTTTTTTCTACTTGTACGATTATCGCTTCCGTATTTCAATCGTTGGAGAAAAAAAAAGAATAATAGTAAAATTGTTAATCTCTATATGAATATTGTGGTTATATTCAACGATAAGCAATGCTTTCTTATGATTGCAGCCTATACAATTTATGATCCACCAAGTATAGATAGATGAATTAAATTAAACATTCACGTTAATACATCTATTGTAGAAAATAAAAATGAAATTTTATCCAAATCAAATAGTAATCGACAGACAAGATTAGTATTATATTGATACGAAAAAGTAGGATAAAAAAGAAAGATATATAATCATATTCATATATGACTGAATACTAAACAAAATTTCTAGTGAGTATAATATATTAAAATAGAATAGACTGCGTACGACGATGTCGTTTGAATAATGATCTCTGTTTATTTTTTTTGAACAAGAATAAATTATAGATGAAGGCACAAATTTCTACTTGTAAATCAATATTGAATGATGTTCAATCGTTCACAAAAGACAGATCAATAGGGAAATGAATTTATATTCAAGTCTGTGATCGTAAGGAAGATGATTGACATTCAGAATAATGATTTATTTCAGAGGGACAAGAACAAATATTGGTCACATATTCATAAAAAAAATCTGGTGGAAAAGAATGAATACATAGGATGAAAATATTTTCAATAGTCTATTCTTATTATCTTTCACGATATTAAAAACCTAGAATAAAATGATATCATTTTTACCATCATTAAAAAGACTGGAATAGAAAATAATCAAATATATTTATATAATGCAATTATCACAGGAGAGATATGCTCTATTATCAATGAATTTGATATTTTTCTTCTGTTTTGAACTAGCCTAGATATACAAGATAATGTTCAATTCTGTGCTTTTAAAGTCAATCAGTATTGTAATTGTTGTAAATTATGAATATACTGAATAAAAAACTATTTAACTCTCTAACAGACTTATTCTTATTGACCAGTTAGTATTTTTCACAGTTACGATGATACAAAAAGAAGTTAAAGTAATAGTCATGTTGAACTCTAAATCAAGAGATTGTCTCACAAAATTATTTCCGAAAATTAGATGAAGATAGTTTTTGAAAACTGATGGAAGATATTTTATCAAATTATAACTTCAAATTTTCTCAAATTTATCAACGTGATATATCGAATAATATCATAAAAAATATTTCAAATAATAGGCATCAAATTATATACGAGAAGATGAATGATGATTTTTTCGGCAATATCAATTATTCAATGGTTATCTATTAGGATTCTATTCTTGAATATTCTTGTTATATATTGTAATTTTCAAGTCAAACTAATTGAATGAAAAGAAGAAATAGATTCTAAAAAAAATATGAAAATCGTTGCCAATCATAATTGTATGTACATAGAATGTAATAGAATGTGAATAAATAAAGAACCATAAAACGTGACATACGCTTAAAGAAAACAATAATAAATGCCTAGCAGCAAAAAAAAGATTTCTGCCTACTGTAATATTGATATTTATTATTCTTTCTGTTGTGCTGGAAATTTTCGGTATTTAGTATATTTATTATGAACGTTTTTTATGTCCAAGAAATTCGATACTTTAAAGAAGATTATTAGGTAAGGAAATAAAAAATCTTGCAGTTTTTTGGATAATATTATTATGATTTCTGAAGAATACACGAATACTGATATCTTCGAAGTTCGAATTGAAACAAAAAACATTTATTTAGTAGTACACAATCATTCAATACATGTAAAACTTTTCTATATTTTATTTTCTAGAAAAGAAAAGTTTTCTTCTTCTCATGGCCCGCATGATTTGTCTTAACATCACTGGTAAATGAAAGACTAAATACAAATAGAAAAAAAACTACAGACTGTTCGATCACACTTCAGAATCTCTTAAATAACTATCATCATATTTACCACGGATTTTTTCATGATGATGACTACGATGTTTTAATCGACGTTGAGGTGAACGCCCTCCCTTTCTATCATCATGATTTTGTTTTGATCCTTTAGATGAATGTTTTTGTGAATTAAATGCTTCTGAAAGTGAAAGAGCAAAGCGATGTGCATGTTCTTTCGATTGAAATAAGAATGCATAACATTCAGTCAATGTTTTATCATGGTTATTTTTTTTATCAGAAGATGGTGATGTTTTTGGTTGACGTAAAACTATACAAGCTGATATTTTTGAATATTTGATATCATGCATAACGTAAGATATATATTCTAAAGGAATAAGACCACTTTGATGTCCTTCGGGACTATGATTATGTGAATCATGTTTACTACGTGTAGAGGACTGACGATGTGTAAGTGTAAGTCCACGCGTATTGATACAAGCATCTAATGTTGGCATCTCATTCATTGATGAGAATTTTCGAGCATTGCTTACCATGTCATCAATAGGAGCGCGTACTGCAGTAGAGCCCCACAGTTCGGGACACTTAGCTCTGCCTAGGTATTTAACAAGGAAATATTGCGGCAATATCAATTTGAATTGTGATGATACAGTAGGAAAATGATCATTCTGCGTTATTTGTATTCGAATAGCATCTGGTGTAAATGGAGCTGGTAAATCATCGATATCATTTGTATGCATTAAATTTAAATTAGCAAAATCTTCTTGAAGATTTACCATACCATTTGAATCAAGAGAATGATGATTTTGAGAAGATGATGGTAACGAAGTAAGTGGATTAGCACGATGATTATTTTTTGGCTGATAAGGTGGCGTATCCGATGGTGTTGATGGACGGCTACTTTCACGAGATGCATGATGACGAACGAAAGGTGAAAAATTCGCATTTTTCACTTCAGAAATAGTTTCAATGGACTGAAGATAGAAATTCGTTGGCTGATGAGAATTTTGTTCATTTTGCTTAGATTCAGGATGATGAGATTGAAGACCAAAATAATCGTGATTGGTAGTATCGTCTTGAAAGGCATCTTCAAAATCGACATAAAGCTAAATGAAAATAATAATAATAATAATAATAATATCATAAAGATGATGTAATCCTTTAATTATTTATAAGACAATATGCAACTTTCATTATCAATAATAATAATAAAAATAATAATAACAGAAAAACATTCCTTTTTTGTGTTTTTTTTTTATCTGTAATGATATTTAAGTGAACTAACAGACTTTTATTGTAATCTATGAACATTGTCTTACTGCTTTTGCTCGTTCAAGTTCTGTTTGTTTTCGAAGAGAAGGTGAATCGTTAGAGCCATTTGCATCAGCAGGAGTATTGGATGGCAAAATTGTAGCATATTGGATTTGACGTTGTTGATGATGGTCTTCTCTACGAGCCATTCTTCTTCTTTTTTTCGTCGTCAAATGAATTATAAGTTTACTTTATTTTTGCTTGATCAACAATTCAATTTCAGTTCGATAAAGCACCTTGAACAAACAAACAAACAAAATGCGCGTTTAAAATCATGAAATGAGTAGTGTGACAGTATTCGATAAAATCAACAACGTAGGAAGACCTTACGGCATCTCTTCAACTCTTTTTGTCTTTTCTGCACAACTGCTTCGATGACTATTCGTGCGAAGCAACAAAAGAATTAACTGAAAAAGAAAACAAACATTTCATCACGCACTATTGCTCAATAGTAACGAATAAATTTTATAAAATGTTGAAAAACAAATCAAGGAAAAATGTAATATATTCAGTAGTATCTGTAATTTATATGCCTCAGAACGAACAAGAAACTTCATTATAAATTCACGTTCGAATCTTTAATTGACTGATCAGAAAAGTTACTTAACTTAGGGTTTTTTTTTCGTATATTGACTTAAGAAGTAAAAAATTATGATGAACTGATCAAATTTATTCTTTCACACTACTTTAACTGTCTTCTTCTTAGTTGCTGATGTTATTCATATAACTAACATCAGTACGTTAACTCTCCTTCTTTGGTTTTTTTCTCAAGAGTTATTACCTTATAAAAGAAGTCGAGTAATAAACGTTATTGCGATAATGCCGTGTCTGTAATATAAAGGTAAAAATTCTGTTTCTTCTTCTTCTGCTGCTCTTTTTTGATTGTTGGCATGATCAGAACGTTGTTATGACATGTGAGATTAGATGAATGAAGCAAGAGCGTATCAAATGACTCTTTCTACTGGACGTAGGTGTTGCTTTTCGTGTTACAGTTAGTTATTGTACCAAGCCAGTATTTCTTTAAAGTACGTCTGTGTACAGTTTGTGAAGTCAATCGAAAATTGGCTAGTTGTATTAAGTCTAGTTGGAAAAGAAATTAAAGCAAAAGAAAGACAAAAAGAAAACGTCAAAGAAAAAGAAGTTTTCTTTTTTCTTGAATAAGCAATTCAAGCACACCGAGAGCGTTATTCTTCTTTTTTTCTCCTCTGTATATTTGTCAGGTGAGAGCTGACGATAAACGAAAATACAAGGAATTGAATAAAATAGAAGAAAAATATTTCATAACAGAGAACGAAAAAGAGTTGGGTAGGCGAGAATATTTTGAGTCCTGGTGTCTTTTCTTTATTCTCACGATCGCTTGATTTCTTTTTGATCAATTACAAATAGTTATGATTCTATTGTTGAAAAACTTTTGCCTCTATTACCTTACTTCAAATCATGTAAAATATAATAGATTGGCCTTTCATATTCTTCAAATAAATATTCATATATAGAAATGTTTGTTTTTCTTTCATTAATTTGTACTTTTCGACCAGATAGGTTCGCACTGTATGACTATCGTATTTATTTTAAAATTCAATATTTGATTAAAATAATTAAAGATAATATATCGATATCTCTTTCTTTTTTTAAGCATTGTGAAAGGATTTTTCTTGAATGAAAATATCTAAGTACTAGAAAATTTTTTTTATATTGTATCGAATAAAGTAATATAAATCGAGAATATTCAGTCATACAAATAAAATTTTGCAAAATACCTGATGGTAATCGCTTATTTTTAATACTTGAAATAGTGCCTTTGTTTCTTTCAAGTTATTTAAACGCTCTTCCTCAAGTATTACATATCTATCAGAAGCACTAAATACCGGTTATTAAAAAGCCAAATAATGAATAACATTCAAATATAAAGCATTAAACTTTCTATTTTTTTAGAAGTAAATTTCACTTTGACTTAAATAAGAAGACTGTAGACAAATATATATGTATAATTGATATAGTCTATGAAAGAAAACGTTTCACCATTTGCAAAAATTTTCATAGAGAAACATGTATGTATTCAATTAAATAAATATGAATAAGAACAAATGTTGAATTTCTGTTCCTATTGACTTCCATATTTGACTAGAAATCAACGAAGTGCTTTAAATGTCATTTATGTACATATTGGCCTTTTCTATTACGAAACTACGTGATGCGAGTCACTTCTATCATAGTTACTGTTTGATATTGTTGATAAATTTTAAAATGCTTTCATGGACAACAATAAACCATATATATTTATACAGTTTCTCCAATTAAATGTGCTTCATTCTTCTGTTGTTAGTAGTATTAAACTTCATATATCACTTCAAGTACCTTTCGTCATAAATCTATATCACTGTTGACTATTGGTAGAGTCTTTTTCTTTTTATATATTTTTCAATACATCATATTTTTTTTGGCTTCCTTTCCTGACAAAATATACGTCCGTTTTGAATTACGATAATAAGAAATCGGCTGAAAAACGTTGTCACAAAAGTAAGTAAATCTTTAACTTTCTAACGAAAAATAAACTTAATACATCAATCAATATCTTACTACGTGCTCCGGCTGGATTAATATTTATAAGAATCAAAAACCAAAAATGAAAGTCAAATATTTCTCATCAATCGATTGATATAAATCCTAGCTTTAGCAGAAATGACATTGAAGATATCATATGTATGCAATATTAATGTCTTCTAAAATAATGAATAGGATCATTATCTAATGATTTCCTTTCAATTAGTTATTTCCTTTCAATTAGTTATTTTTTAAAAGGAAAAGTTGGATTATGATATAATAAGAATATGTTAAACATCAAAGTTCTATTCATTTGTATTGGGTTCATCGTATTATTTGTTTTTGTTGTTGCTGTTGATTTATTAGTACTTAGTTTTGTAATTGTTTTCGATATTGAAAGATAACGGTATTGTTATATTTCAATGCTTTAAGTGTCATTGATCAGTAAATTTTCTTCATAACAGCTATTTTTGATGAATTTTCACGTTATTTTTTTATTTCTGCGCTTCTCGTACCATGTATTTTAGCTCTCTATCTTATAATGTCACTATACAACACGTCAATTACGAGTTTTTAATGACATTTACACCGAAAAGTATGTTTCGTATACAATCGATGATGAAAAGAAATGTGTAAATAATTAGCCTGACTTACAAGCTGTTCTACATTTTATCGAATAGAACGTCATTGGTTTTTACACTATTTCGTCATTGTTGCCTCGATCAAAAGGCATTTTGTTTGACTGTTACTTGTGCATCCTTTTGTGTGGATTCGAACTAAGCTGAACTCTAAGTGCCTGTTATGTAATCCTAATAGCAAACATGTTATATTGAAAACGAAAGTCTTTTTTCAATAACAAAAGGTTAACAAAACTTCATCAATTGTTATTTTAAAGATGAACAAGAAAAATATGGAAAAAATCAAGAATTTATTATATGCACTTTACAAAGTGACCCGTTAAAACTTTATTATCGTCTCTAATCAATTTTTTGATTTAGATTAAGATTTTTCAAAGTACACTAAAAAAGAGTTGCATAACTGCAAGAATTACTTGACCTCGGTTTTGTTCTGTTCAACAAAAATTACAAATAGACTATCAAGTGTAGTATGAAATTAACTTTTCAAAGCTATTCTGTGTCAAACTTCTCTAAAAATATTCTCTTCAAATATATTTTAACTCAAGCAAATAAAGTAAGCAAGTCAACATATGGTGCGCTCCTTGTTTGACTACTTCTTTTTCTTAAAACACTTCAATGAGCAAACGGACCTATATCATTCATACAAATTTTCACGATTAATAAGAGTATTTTTTTATTTATCTCATATAATTATTGCTACATTTTGTTTTTTTATTGCAAATACTTATTTTGTGCTGTTGTCTTTATAATAATAAAACGTCAGCTCTTGAGATGCTCAGCTATACTATTTGGCATATGAAATACAGATCAACTAGGTTAACGTACTTATTCATCATCTACAAAAGTATCAACTATTGGTACACAAGATGTAATAATCCAAAGTGATAATCAGAGGAAGGATGTTAAAAAATAAGATATAAATGTAATAAATCATTTTGAATATCTTTACCACTATGTTTTATCATATCATTAGGGGCATAGATTGTCGAATTCTTTTCATTTTATGAAAGACTTTAACGAAATTTAAAGGTTTGTTCGGTTTACTTGTAAACCTCTGATTTCAAATTTTTATTAAAAGAGTCAAAAGAATCCATATCACAGATTTATTATATACTATTGTATTCAACTTAAATTATCATTAAATGATCAAAAATCATTGATTAAGAATTGAGATATGCTTTTTCGATTCTAGCAATATTTACACGTTTACGGCCAATCAATAAAATAAAATAAAACAAAACAAAATCATAGTGACACCGATGTCATTATCTTTATGCTTTGCATTTAATATTTCGTAATTTACTGTAGTTTGTAATGAGTTTACAAGTGTAATAATGACATAACTATGATACACAGGTGAGAGCCGTTCATGGCTACTGCTGTTTTTCGAATAGTTTGACCGTCAAATATGTCTTGATGTGAATTATCATAGTACCTTTAATCAAAGTTTAAGACAATTAAATCAGGAATATTTGTACTCCTCTCTACACCTTTTGTTGTCTTTAGATAGCTTCATCAAACTCGTATAATATAATGAATTTTTCTTACACTTCTCTATTTGACTTCAATGCTATACTGTTCTAACTATTTCCATTCTCACAGTAACAGTAGTTGATTTCTTACCTATCTTTGAAATAGTGGAATCTAGCAGGTGCCTTGTCAATTTTTCATACTAATACAAAGTATTATGCGAAAGTTTTTCAATGTTTAGAAATTTCGAAATAGAATTGTTCAATTATCTTGAGATTTTTATATCACGGCTAGTAAGAATTTGAGGCTAGTCAACTTCAGGTCTTTTACACTTTGTATCTTAAACCCAGCAGTGTCAAGGATCTAAAAAATGTCCACTTTACGAAAAGTCCCATAGCTATGTGTAGGACCTTACATACCTCGTGAAAAATCATATACATAGACATATATAAGTAGCAAAAGAAAAAGCAAAACATGAATAGACGACAAGCGGATCTTTCTTTTCTCCAGCGGACTTTTCTGTTCTCTAACGGAATTTTCCTTTCACTTCAACGAATTCATTCACATGCATATAGCAGAGATTTGGTGCAACACAAACCAAAACAATGAATTATATGTGCATCTTTATCGACATTTTTCAAAAAGAAAGGTCTTATTTATTTTTAATTTAAAAAAGATTAGACATTTTTCTTTTTTAACTTAATATTTCTTATTTTTATAAAAAGAAGGATTACATATCCTTATATCATAAAGATAAATTAAGGCAAATTTTTATCCTTATTTGATTAAATATAATGATTTTATTTATCCTTATCTTATACAAAATATGACCACTGAATTCATATTGATTTCATTTATCTTTTTTTTTCTCAACTGGCAACATTTTATTGCTATTTATTCATTAATGCGAACGAATATAACCATAAAGTAACACCCGTATATAAGAACGAAACTTCTGTGCGAACGTCTAGCAAATTTTATTTCAATGAATATTTTCATTCAATACATCAAATCTTTCTCTTTTCTTTCTTCAATAAATGACTTTCTTTTTCTTTCCTGCTGTGCTTCGAGGCATATATTCATACTATCAGATTCTTCATCGCTGAAAAATAGCAACTATGAAACACAAACATTATATAATTCAAAAAACGATTTTAAAACGATCTCTCCCAATCATTGTTCCAAAATATTCATTCGTTAACTCGCCACTAATGAAAAGATCCTTATGATTTAGAAAAATTCCATGAAAGGTCCGCTTGAAATACTAGGAATATATCATTAGTGATAGAGAAAGGTCCTAGTTTTGCACGATAAGTAATATCCTTCCTTCATAATGTCAGAGGACTTTTTGGAAACTGGACATTTTCTGGATCTTTGCCAGTAGTGGCGTACCGAGGGGTGGGCGCCACCCTCCCACCGCGAAACTTTGCCCACCCACTGATAAGAAAAAATGCTTTATAAAAACTTTGAAATTTTTTCGATTTCCTTGCATATTAAGATTGTTCGAAATTCTATCAGCTAGTGGCATCAATAGGATATACACTCCTAATATCATCCATTACAACAGAAAGAACATTCAACAAAATGAAACTCATCAAAACGAATGCACGTAATAGTACAGGATAATTTACTTAGTTTTACTAGTTATCTTCAGTTTGCTGTATTTCAACGAAACATCAGTAGTGTTTAATTCCTATATGATTTGGTAGAGCACTGACTATTACTCTACCTCCCTGTAGTTCTCATTTGATTTTTTCGCATCTTGATAAGAATGCCGAAACATGTCTATGACTGGTTAAATACAATTTTTGCGCTCGAACATTTCACTCAGATAAAATCCGATTGTTACAAAAATAATTTTAGATGGAAGAGATTCGTCCAGCTTAAGGTTGCACAAAGTATTAAATGAAACTGTTATAAATTGAAGGAGGAAGCTAAACTTTACTTTTGAAGTTTTAGACACTTTTGCACCACTAGATTTTCGATACTATTCGCATGATCTCAAATTTACCGATAAAGCCCTATAACTCAATTAAATTAAAATTAGATAAATCAATACAGTAAAGGTTGCTCTGTTCAACTATATATTAGTGGAAAAAATTTCTATGATTATGTGACTATAATTTACTCGACAAGGATTAATAACTGAAGTTTTATCAAAGAGAATGGTTAGAACGTAACTCAATTTTCAGTCAAACTGAGAAATAAATTAAATGAAAAATAGATCTTTTTTTATAGAAAATGAATTCTCTACCAAGTTATATCAAGTTAAAAGTGTTCAATTGTCCAATACTTAATAATCACTCTCATTATTTGAGGAAAACATCTAGAAATTGCATAGAAACAAAAACCCGTTTTTGTGTGCTTCTCGAAATTGACTCTCTTTCTTATTGAGACACGAAATAAATGAAACAAAAACTATACAGTTAGATAGCGTAATCAATGCTACCCAGGTCAATGATTCCGGAGGACGGATACCCTAGGAACCGAACGGAAAGATGTGGAAAAATCACTGCACCTGGTCAGAAAGCCCAGGAAATCGCTGAAAAATGGAAGCAATATTCCGCGGAATACTGCTTCCATTTTTCAGCGATTTTCCGTGCTTTCCGGCCGTTTCCCACCGTACCTCTACGACCTGGGTATGGCAAATCACACAGAAATTAAAAACTACTAACATTCCGTAGAAATACAGCTACCTCACGAAAACTAGTAAAAATAAGCGCAGCATCCTGCATGTCATATACGAGTTTAAGTAATTTTTCTTTGTTGGCTATTGAAAGAGTTATAATTGTTGATTATGAAAACATAAATGATGCATTCGCAACTCAACACTCAAGAACACTCGAATACTTTTGAAATAGTTATGGTTTGTTCACTCGCATTTTTATCTTTTCTTGCTCACATAATCTACACAATAAAAGAATATACATATTGTTCTACGTCACTCTTTAGGAATCAGAAAATTAGGAAACTGGATTGAATTTTCAGGAAAAAAATGAACTATTGTGGAAGCAGTTTTTAAAGACACTGGGGCAGCGCCCTCCGACCCACAATTTCCTGGATACGCGACTATTTGCCAGCCCTCTTTAAACCAACCAACAAACATCTTTGATTGAAAAGAAAAAAAAAGATGTAAATTTAAAATTGAATACACAGCGTCCTCTACAAATTTTGGTTGTTACCGGCTCGATGTGGTAAACCATTCCAATGCTGATTAATCGTAACACCACGAAACTGAAACGGAAGTAATTCAAGTTTTTTTTACAAGATTTTTCTCTGTTTGATTTTGAATTTAATCCGCCCAGTTTACTTAGAAATCATAAGAATGTTCTATACTTGACTCAAACTATTTGCTTCCTTCGAAATAGGAGATATCTAGGTAGAAACAGATTTTGAAATATCACTAGTTAAAAGTAATATACGAATAAATACAGCGAAAGAAAAACAGTAATTTGTTGATGCAACTTCAAAGAAAAATGATTGAATAACGAAATATTAGATAAATTCATTCAAATAGATCGTTAAACTTTGTTTACGATTAGAACAAAATCAAAAGATTCTTTTTCATGAATTCTCAGTGTCCTTTACTATTGAATAGTTTTTCGTTTCAATAGAAATGATTATTATTTATAAAGTCATTTCAATTAGTATTTTTGTCAATAGTCTGTATGTTCTAGATTGCAGATGAGAAGATAAAAAACAAAAAGTTCATTACAATTGATTTTAATTCGCCATTGTTTGTTTCTACTTATTTTCTTATGTATTCTACAATGGCTTAAATTACTTTCATATTTTTAAAATTGAATATTTTAAGTTTTACAAAAATCATAAAATAACACTTTTCCTAAGAGTATACTTCAAGTGAAAAGATTGAGGCGTCATATGATTGATATTATTCGAACTAGATCGAAGTTTGATTAAGCCAACAAAGAATTACTATTTTCAGCAAATCTTACATGTAAAAGATTCGTCTCATTTTCTATTTTGCTTGTATAGAAGAAAACTATCCACAAGTTTCTAAATATCCTATTGAAAATTTCAACCTAGCACAAGTTGCAAAATTTAGAGAAAAAACAAGTTCCTATGCTATATATGTCGTCGTTTATTTGTTTTCTTCGAGATATGATAATTATGAATTTCCTTTCAAATATTTTAGACTATGTCGCAAAATCAATCGAAAAGTACCACTAATAAATATTGGAAACCAGGAAGTACTCGACCACCACGACAACAATCATCATCAATAGTTGATCGACAAGATTCAACATCAGAAAATGTTGATCTTTATCAACATTCGAGTATGTCTATTGTTCAACATCGTCGTCATTTGCCGATTGCTGCGTATAGAACACATATATTACATTTACTTGAAAAATATCGAACTTTAATAATTATTGGAGAAACAGGTAAATCTCTTCGAACAAATCTTTTCGTTTAAGCAAGATAGAAATTTTTCGTATAAAAAAGGTAGTGGAAAATCAACGCAAATTCCTCAATATCTTCTTGAAAGTGGTTGGACACGTAATGGAAAATTAATTTGTATGACTGAACCTCGTCGTATAGCAACTATTCAATTAGCACAACGTATTGCAGATGAAAAAGATGTTGTACTAGGAAAAGAAATCGGTTATCGAATACGTTTCGAAGATGTTTATTCAAGTGGTTTAACACAAATATTAGTAATGACAGAAGGACTTCTATTACGTGAACTTATGTATGATCCATTATTAACACGATATAATGTAATTATTATTGATGAAGCACATGAACGTTCAATTCAAACTGATCTTCTATTAGGATTGTTAAAAAAAATTCAAAGACGTCGACGAGATTTACGTCTCATTATAACATCAGCTACAATTGATAGTGAACGATTACGTGCATTTTTCGAGCATCAGCCAACTTCAATATCAAAAACTGAAAATCAACCTGAAGAAAACAAAAATGAAGACGAAAAACTTGATGAATGCTTTATCATGAGTGTTGAAGGTCGCTCATATCCAGTTGAAATTTATCACACAACTGAACCTGTTCCAGATTATTGTAAAGCATGTGTTGATACATGTATACAAATACATGAAAATGAAAAATATAATGAACAAGGCGATATTCTATGTTTTATATCTGGACAAGATGATGTTTTACGTATTATACGTGATTTACATGATTATGCAAGACGTTTAAATGATGAACAACAGCATCTAAAACGTAAAGATGAAAGAAAAAAATTTAATTATTTTACCATTATATGCTAGTTTAAAATTTCTTGATCAAATGAAAGTATTTGAAAAGACACCAATAAATACGCGAAAAATAATTGTTGCAACAAATATTGCTGAAACAAGTTTAACAATTCCAAGTAAAATAAAATTTGTAATTCTTTTTGTATTACGAAAAGCTTTTGTTTCTATCATTGATTAGATATTGTTTATGTTATCGATTGTGGTTATGTTCGGTTAAAATTATTTAATCCTGAATTTGGTTTTGAAGTTTTAACAACATTGCCAATAACATGTTCATCCGCATTACAACGTGCTGGTCGAGCAGGACGTGTTCGTTCAGGCAAAGCCTATCGTCTTTATCCAGCAGTTGAATATAAAAAAATGAAAGAATTTCAATTACCTGAAATACAACGATGTGATTTAGCTTTAGCTGTTCTTCAATTGAAAGCGTTAGGTATACACAATATTGTTCGATTTGACTTTCCATCGCCACCACCATCAAAAAATCTACTTCAAGCTATTGAATGTCTATATGCATTACGTGCTATTGATCAACAATCTCATTTAACGAGCGATTTAGGTATGAAAATGGCTGAACTACCATTACATCCAGCACATGCACGAGCATTAATTCTTTCACTTGAATATGGATGTACACAAGAAATATTAAAAATAATTGCATCACTTCAAGTTAAACATGTTTTTCATAATCCGCCAAATGAAAAGATGCGTGCAGCAAAATTACATAGTAGCTTTGCCTGTCAAGAAGGAGATCTCATTACTGTACTTAATGTTATTAAAGTATTTGAACAACAAATGATGCCACAACAATTTTGCGATAAGTAATTATGAAATGAATTTCTAATATCTACATACTTCGCATCTTATCTCTACTCTACTGTCCTTCTACTGAGTGGTTAGAAAAAAAATAATAAAACATGGAATAAAACATCTTGAACAAGATATATTATATCGTGTTCAATAACATTATAGATCAATTTCAAGAAGAAAAGTTTGCTTTTCTTTTTGTTTAAGTTAGAAAAACATGAGTTGCACACAAGAGAGGGTGGACAAAGTAAGACTTGCGTACATAAGAATATAGTAACAGTAAAGCTAAAATAGGTTTCAGCTGTACTTTCACTTTATTCTGAAGTACGGAGATCTTCCTGCTTCTCCTTAGTTGCACATCATTAGATAAGTTCTATTGAAGTTATAGACCGCTTAAAACAATTTCTATATGTGTTAATCGAGGACTCTATTGTGACTATTCAAACCAATATTATAACTTGAGAACGAACTAATTTGTATGGTAGAAAGAGAAAAAAAAGGATATAGATCAATAGCTTTATTTTTTTGCTATTAATCTATGCTCAATCTGACGCAGCAATTGGAAAAAAGTTTAACTCACAAAGATTGAATTTCTAAACTTAAAATCAAATTAGAATCAAAATTTTATCGGGACAACATATAGACGAGAATGAAATAATAATTTTACAAATTTCTACAGACAACAATGTGTCCTACTTAATTTACTTTAGACGAGTTTATTCTGTAGATCCAGCCAGTTTTGCATAAATCAAAGCTAATAGTCATTGTTTACTAATAGTATTATTAAGAAGACCTAATTAAATCGCGCTGACCATAGAAGAAAGGAAAAACATTTCACTCAATTTTGCTTATGATACCTTATATCCTACCAATTACTTGAGAGAAAATTTCATTAGATGTAATGCATATCGATATTTCTTGTTAAATACGTATAATATATTTAATAATCAACAAAAGATGTTAATAAAAGAAAACAAACGGAAAAGAGAACATTGATTGCTCTCCACATTTCATAAAAGCCAATTAAAATTATTTATCTTATTGTTTCATTGAAGGTATATGTTGAATCTAAAATCATTAAAACGTATTCTTGAAATAAAAGATTCATTAGAAAAATCGCTTCGTCGTATAATAGCAAAGAATAATAAAATACTATCATCGTCGGGTGATGATGTTATACCAGTTCTTAAATGTTTAACAGATGGTTTTTTTATGAATGCTGCACAACTTTCAATCGATGGTTATACTTATCGAACATTTCGTGGTTCATTGCAAGAACTTTATATACATCCGTCATGTATTTTATCAGCAATATTATCAAAACAAGATACAACACAAAGTCAGTTACCTAAAACAATATTATTTAATGAGCTGATTCAATCATCGAAAATTTTCATGTCTGATATCACTGTTATTGATCCAAATTGGTTGTATGAAATTGCTGGACACTATTACGAACAATTATCGACTAGGCAATGGATTTTAAAGGAGTCATGCGATTTAGAATAATAATAAAAAATTTCTTTTCTCCTTTGTTGTTTGTTTCATTGTTGGTATATATTTCAGATGGAAACAGAAATATTAAGAGTAAAAATCATTTCATTGAAAAAATCTTCCAAAAACAACTTGAATAAATCATTATTTTATATTAAAAAATTAAAAGAAGTGCCATCAAACAATGGTAATATATTAATTGATATTATTCTTTAGTGGTGTTAATAATTAGAGTAGATTCAAAATATTTTAATTACAAAAAATTCTTTTGGACTAACCTTTCTGGTGTTCAAAACACGAAATTTTAAATAATATCGATGAGTTTTTTATGTCAAAACTAAGAATTGTTTCTTTTTCCATTTAAAAATTATTTTATAAACTAAACTACTATGTATAAATAGATGATGCCGTAATACTCGAACCAAGTGAATCATCAACAGCATTGGTTCTTCCTGTAAATGAATCATTCGATTGGAATGTAAATGATGGAAACTATTGTCAAATTATTTGCGTAACACGTACATCAGAAGTCTTAACTGATACTATTCTATGGTTTAATCATTTATCAAGTCTTCTTCCTAAGTCGACTCATAAGAAGAGAGTTTCATCAGAATTATCTCATATTGTACGATCTATATTTTGATTTCATGAAAACAATTCTTTTTTTCTTTTCCTATTTAGATGGTTCCTGCTGGAGAATATCATTTTGAGATTGGCCTACAAAACATTGGAAATTCAATAGTATCAAGTCCTGGTAAACTGAAACTTATTCAGTGCTTGTCTTTTTATATCGATTTTCTTTCTTTTTTTTGTTAGCATGCGATGTAGAAATCAATAATTATCATCATGCTCAAATATCAAGTCCGCAATCAATTCGAGGTCATTTAATGAAACTGGAACAATTTAAGCATTCAGCTCGCTGTGCTTTATGTGGTGGATTTATACGGTAGTTTATATTTATTGTCATATTCTTAATCGTTGGTTTTTCTTAGGAGCGTAGATCATCAGGATTCTCGTGGTTTTCGATGTTCGGAGTGTTCTCTTGTGGCTCATGTAAAATGTCAACCAAATATTCCATTTTGGTGTCAAAAATCCATATTTACAGTGTGTATCATTTATTTTCTGTTTGCATTTCGCATAGAACTAAAATAATATAAATGAATTTTTTTGAAATCCAGAATAAGGAAGCTATTCAGTTATATGAAAATGTTCGATTAACATTTCATATTCCACATACATTCAGACAATATGACGTGCCATGGATTCGAGCTATAACGTCCAGTAATCGTAGCTATTGTCATCATTGCGGTACTCAAATTTCTCGAAATGCTCTCCAATGTACACGTAAGATAGAGAGAATTACTATTTTCTTGTTATTATTGCTTAACTAAAAACTTATACTAGTCATAAAGTATATTAATGAGAATCGTCATTCATTACTAATTTTAATTTTAATTCTGAACATAATCTTCAATTGACCGACTAATTTATTGCTTCTTGTCCTGTTATTATGCAAAAACAAGACACATTAAATTGAAAATACTAATTTATTTTCTAGAATGCCATTTTATCATTCATCAACGTTGTGAATTAAATGTTCCACCCATGTGTACAATTCCGTATAGTACAATATCAACAATTTTAGGAGAGGATCGTCCTAAACCACCTATAGAAAATTGTAATAAACGAGGCGCAACATCTTCATCAATTGGTTTTTTGACGCTTGAACCGCTACCAGGATTTCCATTAGAAAATCAGCGAAGAATATCTTTACCTAAATTTAATGATTTTGAATATGTTGGTCGTCTTGGTAGTGGTGGTTATGCTCAAGTCTATTGTGTTCAACATATTTTATCGAAACAATATTTCGCTATTAAGGTAGCTGATGGAACAGATGAACAAGCACGACAACAATTAGAAGTTGAAAAACAAATTTTATTTCGTTATAGTGATGGAAATCCTTATATGATCAAAGCATATTGTGCATTTCATCAAGGAGTAAATTTCAATTTATTTCTATTTAAGAAAAAAATGATTTATTTTCAGAGTAATCTATTTCTGGTTATGGAACTTGTGCAAGGTGGAACTTTATCTCATAAAATTCAAATAAGGCGAATGGATGAAAATGATATACGATTTTATGTAGCACAAATCATTTGTGTTTTACAATATTTACATTCAAAAAATATTGTTTATCGGTAATATTCAATACATTAGAATTTTTCTTCAACATTCCTTTTTTTAACTATTCAGAGATCTAAAACTAGAAAATGCCATTGTTAACTCAACAGGTTCTATACGTTTAATTGATTATGGACTTGGACGACTATTAAAAACTCATGATGATACTTGTCATACGTTTTGTGGTACTTACAGTTATATGGCTCCTGAAGTAAAAATGATTTTACCAAAAAAACAAATCTTATCAAATGATTTTTTTCTCTCTATAGGTTAGACGCTTAGAAAAAAGTACATCCAATGAAGGTTATAGTTATCCAGTTGATTTTTGGGCACTTGGAGTCATGTTTATACAAATGCTTTGGGGTGAACAAATGGATTTTTCTCATCAAATGTTTTCAAATGATAATGAAGAAACATATGCGCCAAGAAATCTAGCACAAACTTTAGAATTACCTCGTTATATAAGTCCTGCAGCTCATTCATACGTGATGGGTTTACTTGAGAATGATCCTGAAAAACGATTAGGTTCACCTAATTCACCACATGGTTCAATTCGTGAACATCCATTTTTTAAATCAGGTCATCCAATTAATTGGCAAGAAATCGACGAAGGCATATTTAAAGCAGCTCATAGAGCTCCAACAGTAAACCAAAAATAAACTTAGTAGAATTATAAAAAAAAAGATAAAATGTTGATATTTTTCATCTAGATTACATTTACTGAATCTGACAGATCGAGTCATCCATCACTTTCGGTTTTACAGTTAGACATATTAGATAAAGATGTCTCTGCTAAAGTCGAATGGCTAGCTGCTGGAAAATCAACCTGTACATCCGTTGAAGAAGAACGATTCAAATCATTTGATTATATTAGTGAATCCACAGCGCTTGAATTTATTTAATTGAGTGCTTATTGAAAAAAATTATTTTACGATAAATAATAATCATTTCTTTATTTGCTACTTATATGAAACACACATTATCCTCAATGGCAAATTAAGTTTTGCCATACATTCATTCATATAATTCCATTTATGTTGATAAGGGCAATGCATACTCTATAGAAGTACCGTTGGTCTGCTTATATATATTAACAAATATTTTATGTGCCTTTTATATTTTCTAAAAATGTGTATTTGAGAAACCTTTTTGATGAAAAAGAAAATATTTAATACACGTATCAGTGCCTCAAATATATTGTGTGTTCTAAGCAAACACTTGTAGTATTGTTCAGGATTCACAAGACACTTATTTTATCTGTATACACAGGTTATAGCTAATCATTCAAGGTCATTACTTTGCCGTTAGAAATGTATCGTCAAGTTACATCAAAGCCTAACTGTTTTTCTTTTCTTTTTTTCGTTTTTAATCTTATCATTGCCTAAAGCAAAAAATACCCTTTTATTTTTCTTGTTTTATTCTACCTATATCTTACTTATTTTATGTGTGCGTAGCTTGTAGATTCGTATTTCTTTTTTGCATCATCAAATGTCGTCATCTCAACTGGTTCGCCGTATTATTAAAACAGCTGCAGCTGGACCTACTAGTGGACCATATAGGTAAGAAATAATTCTAGATTGACACAATAATAAATTTATCAAAATATATATTTTAGTCAAGCTGTTCAAGTTGGTCAAACATTATATTTGAGTGGATCTATTGGATTAGATCCTAAAACTGGTCAATTTGCTGGTGATAGTGTACAGGAACAAGCTCGTCAAGTAAATTTATAATGCATATGCCTAATTAATGTTTGCTATCTATTATTATACTAGTCATTACAAAATTTGGGTGAAGTTCTTAAAGCAGCAGGTGCATCATATAAAAATGGTCAGTTATTAGAGAAGGAAAAATAAAATAATAGAATTAATATTTGCTTGTAGTTGTGAAAACGAACGTGTTTCTTAAAGATATGAACGATTTCGCTGAATTGAATGAAGTTTACTCTCAAAGTAAATACTTTTGTTTTACTCAAATGAACATAATTGACTCGTCTATATTTTCTGTTTTTAGTCTTTACAGATCGTCATCCAGCTCGATCAACAGTCCAAGTTGCTGGTCTTCCAAGAGTAAGTCAAAATATTGCAATCATTCTATTGATTGATTTATTTTGAATTCTTATTATTAGAATGCAAAAGTGGAGATCGAAGCAGTCGCTATATTAGGTGATATTCAAGACGAATAATAATTATCATTTAATCATTTATAACTTTGATGCCGATTGCATGTTTATTGTCGATCACTTTTTTCCACCTCTTCTCTTTTTTTTCTGTTCAATCCAAACATATTGGTAACAATAGTAGAACTGTGCTAACAACATACCAGTAAATTAATTGCTTGTTCATTCGTTTCTTATTTTATCACACACACACACACGCGCTTAGCAATGTAAAGAGTAAGAAAAAGAAGAAAAATCTGATTAGACTGTCGTTTCTCGTGGGAGATTATTTTTGATCGTAATCGAACGTCGAATATGGTTTGCACGCAAATATGTCACAAAACCAATCGGTCGAGCTAAGTGCTTTTTTCCAATAATGCAAGGGCGGAACTTGATCTACTGTCAAATAGCAAGAAAAGCTGCAGGCAATAAAGAAGAGAGAGAAAAATCTAGGCGAACATGAACAATACTACCTGATAGTTTACAAGATGATGGAAGCCTTTGACAGGAGGGAAGGCAACCCCCAACCGATTACGCGTCTATTGTGATAAGCAATGGGAGGGAAGAAAATATGATTCAATTAGAGAGAAGAAAAACCGATCAAGCTCAATCGTATATACATCCACATCCACACATACACATATGGATAAACGAGAAAAGAAGAGCGAACTATTGAAGCATTAATGAATTGCATAGTGCACCTCCTACACTTGTCTAAATAAAAGAAAAAAAGATGTGCTCAATTAATTGTTGATGACGAGTATAGAAGAGGAAAAGTGTATGAATGTTCAGGCGATCAGGTTTCATTTCTCAACGCAATTAACATATGAAATACATGTTTTCTAAACACACTCCAAGATTGAAACAAAAAGAAAACGTTCAATCAGATTAATCATAGAGAACGAAAACAACAACAAAAACGACTACTACTATATCGATGCGCTATCTTATATCGACATAGATCATAATCAATAAAATATATTGATTTGTCATTTAAGAGAGATATATTTCTGAGAATTTATTCAATTAATCGTTTCAACAGCAAGAAGATTTCTACCTGAAAAGTTGTAGCTACTGATTTACGATCTCATTTTTTTGTCTGCTGTTGAAAAATTCATAAAAAAAGATACATGATTTCAATTTTGATTGATCATGCACGAGTAGCATTAAGTGAACGTTCATCATTATCTCTCATCTTAATTATGGATACAACTACCAGTTTCTACTACTGACATTATATCGGCAAAGATAAAAGTAATGTACATCCAACTGTTTCTTCGATGTCTATTGTTTCTCATTAAATACTATTTTATTTGATCATCTTTTGAACAGCATTGAAATTGGCTTTGTTAATTTTTTTTCCGAATGGCTCTATGTTTTTTTTTCAAAACTGCAAGAAACAAAAATCACAAGTTTTTCTGTAATTTCTTTTTTATAATATTTTAAGAAAATCAATCATGCAAGTTATAACAAGACATAATGCAAAGAAGACGATCAGAATAACACTTGTGAACAATGATGCGTTAGTCAGAGTAATTATATCGTTGAGATGGATAGGCGCGAGCACCCTAGGCATGACACCATCGTCATTTACGCGTTTAACTACTTGTCAATGATGATGATGATGATGATGATTGTAAAATGAGTGTGAGATTCCTCAAGAAGGAAAAAAATTGTTCTTTTATTCTTACTGCCATCTTGATTTTAGAAGAGAGAGAGAGAGACTAAATTAAAGCATACTATTTGATAATTGTAGCTTATTTAACTTGAGCAATCAATATGATAATTATAAATCTATTGAACTAGAAAGGCTATTTTCTATTTAATTATTTTTGTCTTTAACGACTTTAATGTGTTTCAAGCAATGTAGTTTTAAAAATCTTTTATTTAATTTGATTTGTCTTTCGTCTATGTTGAAAAAAATATAATCTTTTACGTCAGTGTTTTACATTGACACTATATGAACCTTAGGGATGGCGATGAAAAGTAAAATATTTCTGTTGCTATTAATATTTTTATGGAAATAGAGCATTTAATATCAACGTGTACTCCTCTCAAATCATTATGTTCATGAACAGTTGAAAGCTAGTTTTGATTCGTTTCTTTACCAAATTCTTTATCGATAAAGTTAAATGCGAACAAAAGCAATTCTTCTCTTATTTTTTAATTTACTGATTTTTATATTACACAATTGTAAAACTTCCGTTGTTATGAACATTCAGCAAAGAAAAAGAAAAAACAATTATCAAATGATAAGATCTAATGAATTTATTGATCATGCTATCAGATAAATCCGATATGATCCAATCATGATAGAATGCCAATGTGGTATAGTGCTTACACATTATTGTGTTTGTTTCTCTCCTTCACAAAAGTCAATCAATCAATTATACAGTTGCCTTTTCCTAAAGAATATTTTCTTTTTTTTTATAAACTCGGCTGCAAATTGGAAATATGAGATCAAGCCACAACATAAAAAAGAAAAGGGAGTAGTTTTGCTCTTTTGTTTCCGTTTTTTTGGCTTTCCAGAGAAAAAGAATGTAGGATACTAACAATAACATCTAGCATAATTGGGTGCAAATTACTATAAAACCGACTACATAAAGAATATAGGAAAAGAATTCTCTTTTATTTTTCTCGTCTTCTCTCTTGTCATCCGCATTATGATTGGCCCATTGGCAAAAATATCAGGCTTGTTGAGCCAATTCCTTCTTTCTCTCTCAGTCATGTTGTAGACATGTTCTGATTGGCTTAGTTAGTCGTTAGCAAAAAAAAGAAGAAGCAGAAGAAAAAAAAGAAAAAGCAGATTCGAACTATTCTCTTGTTCGCCCAATTATCAACAAATTAGTTTCTCTCTTTTTTTTTTCTTTCTCTTTTTTCTCTTTTCTTGCTTATGTATGTTAACAACCTAATAATCAGTTGATTGACTTCTTTTTCAACATCGTATCATGAATTTAACTCATCAACAACAACAAATGCGTCATCATCATTATCCTCAGCAAATGCCAGCAACAAGCCGAACAACTGCATTTGCAATTCAAGAGATTCTTGGTCTTACATCCACGGATCTTGCAGCGGCTCGTGCTTATGCTGATCATCAAGCATATACAGCTTATTTATCTCGTTCAAGTTTATTTTCATCTCCATATCATCCTCATCCTCATTCTCAACATCATTCAACAGGATCATTTATTAATGCAGATGTACCACATCCACATACAAATTTTCTTCAACAATTTTCTCCAACAAATTCGCATAATACAAATACAACATTAGATTCATTACAAGATAATTTAGGTAAAAATTTTAAAATGATAAAATTTGTCTTAGCGTCGTTTGAAGACGATAAAAATAGACAGAGCTTATGTACAATGTTGCCTTCTTATTTAAACAACACTTGACGGATAAGAGTTTTTTTTTCGATCAATCAACAAAACATGATTATCAAAACACTTTAAAGATAAACATTCTTGTCTTTGATCTATACATTTTTTTTTCCATTTTGTGTTTAGATCGAGATATTCTTATTGGCAGTACAACTGGTAGTGGAAGTGATGGTTGTGGTAGTAATGAAAAATTAAACGCTAATGGAACAAATAGTAGTAATAGTAGTGGTTCTGGTAAAAAGAAAAAATGTAAACGAAGACATCGGTAAATCAAGTTTGAGTTTAATTAAAATCAGTTTTCTTTTCAATCACGTTTTGTTTAGAACTATATTTACTAGTCATCAAGTAGAAGAATTAGAAAAAGCATTTAAAGATGCTCATTATCCGGACGTATCGGCACGTGAAATTCTGGCTGTTAAAACTGATCTTCCTGAAGATCGAATTCAGGTTTGTTGTTTCTTTTATATTAAATTAAATTAAATTAAATGAAAGTTAAGATGAAATTTCTGTTCGTTTCAACCGATCAATTGAATGATGGGCGGAGAGAAATTTCATGTATTGTCAATGTGAATGAGTTAATTAATTCTCTCGGTTCTCATCATCATTAACGCACGGCGTGCGTGTATGTCTCCTATTTTTAAGCTTACATGCTCTAGTCTTGTACATGTTTCTCTCTCTCTCTCTCTCCTCCTTCGTTGCTCTATATTTATTATTCTACATCGACAGGATAAATAGTCGCTCAGCATGATGTCTCTACGCCATGTCCTAATGAGCATTTTCACATCGATTGGTGGAAAAAAACTGTAATAGCACGTGTGCCCGATTGGATCATCTCTTTCTCGTTTTGACATCCTTGGCCATTCTTACTGAAGGATGGGGTGTCAATGCGAAAGAAGGATTCAGCTTGTCAATTAATTGCTCATTTAGTTTATATTTGTTACGTCATCTTTTATTTTTTGCTAATACAAAACGAACGTGTGATCAATTTATCCATTCATCGATGAGTTTTTTCTCGCATACGAATAACTTCAGATGAATATTATCACACGCATGTATTTATAGTTGGCAGCGTGATAATGGAAAAGATTATGAAGACTAAATTATTTTTCTGATTGTTTGCTTTACGTTTATTGTTTGTTTAGGTTTGGTTTCAAAATCGTCGAGCTAAAGTACGTTGTTCATATTTGAGAACTTGATTTTTAATATTTTATTTTAGTGGCGTAAAACGGAAAAAACTTGGGGAAAAGCGACAGTAATGGCTGAATATGGATTGTATGGAGCTATGGTTCGTCATTCACTTCCATTACCTGATACCATTGTCAAATCAGCTAAAGATGGTATTGATTCTTCTTGTGCTCCATGGCTTCTTGGAATGCATAGAAAATCTCTTGAAGCAGCTGAACAATTGAAAAAAATGGTTAAAGACGATGGAGAAGAAGATGGGGAAGGTATAAATGAGCACGACGCCAATGGCGATAACGATGATGATGATGATGATGATGATGATGATTGTAGTAGCACACATTCAAGAAAGTCACCTCGTTCATTATCTGGAGTGGCCCACATCGATATAACAGAAGCCATGCGAAGTGAAAGTATTGCAGCACTTCGTGCCAAAGCTCAAGAGCATAGTGCACGAACAACAGCTAAGCATCGTCAACCGTAACATTTCTGACAGAATTTCTTAATTTCTTGCTTTTTTCTTTTTTCTTTTCTTTTTTTTGTACAGTGCATGATTGTTTCAAGAGATAAACAAAGAGAAATAAATACATAATTGCAGTTTTCAATTAGATTATCATTATTTTTTTTTCAAATAATAGTTAATAATAGATGTATTTTTATTTAATTATGCATGACTACTTTGAGACTGATCTTTTACTGTCCTATGTACATCTAGATTATTTGTAAAAAAAAAACATTTTTCTTTATGTACAATCATTTTATCGTTCTACTATCAGAAGAAATAGAGACTTTGTCAGTGGTACATTTGTGGCTCGATTTTGATAAATCGTAATGAAATGCTTCATTTTTGGGCATTGTGAAAAATAATGAAATATTCTACGTCTTCTATTATAATTTTTCATGCTAAATAATTAAAATATCGTTAAAAAGATCATTAATCCTTCTTAGTCAATAAGTTTTTCTTGATTATGCTCGCTATCGTAGTATTCGCATATAAAATTCCATTTTTTTTGTTCTACTTTACAGCGGTGATTTTCCATCTAGTGTATGCTGATAAATTTACTGATGTCAAATGAAACACGTAGATTTATGGAAGAAAAGCTCATCGATGTTATCTTAACTCAAACAGATCGTTATCATTCTTATACGTATTATTTAAAATTTATATGCAATGTAATAAGTACAAATAGACTTTGTTTGATTATTAGCTTTTTCTTCGGTGAAAAATACATGTATACGGCATGACATTTTCAATGCCTATGATATTTTATGTTTAGCAGTTTCAAAATTGCAAGCAGAGATTTCAACTCTTCATTGTTCACTTTTATTAATTAAAAGAATTCTTTTGATTTTGCAATATTCTCTCGGAATTTACAGAACACTTTTAAATAGCAAAGTTTAGATTATACAATGTCGCAATTAATTGAAAATCAGAAACAGCATTTTACACCCCATTGACTACGATAGAATTCAGTAGTTTTCTTTTCGAACTTTAATTAATTTCTACTCTTGGTGCCCGTAAAAAATCTATCACATATTGGAAATGTAGAAACTCAACCTACGCTATTTAGTTACTATTAGAGATAATATTCCAGGTTATATCTACGTATAATTGCATTGAAATATTTCTAGCAATGATAATAAAGCAATGATTTCATCAAGCGATACGCTGATTGAAATTGTTGGTTAACGGACCACATCGCTACCTTAGATAAATATTCTTGATATCATAATGAATCTTCTTGTTTCTGTTACTGAAATGATTATTCTATTATTTTTATATCTGTATAGTCGTGATACAAGTTAATACACGAGAATAAATGTTTAAGTATGAAAAACGGCTTGTCGAGACTATTTTCTGGTTACATTTTAATACTGCTAAACATAAAATATCATAGGCATTGAAAATGTCATGCAGTATACATGTATTTTTCACCGAAGGAAAAGCTAATAATCAAACAAAGTCTATTTGTACTTATTACATTGCATATAAATTTTAAATAATACGTATAAGAATGATAACGATCTGTTTGAGTTAAGATAACATCGATGAGCTTTTCTTCCATAAATCTACGTGTTTCATTTGACATCAGTAAATTTATCAGCATACACTAGATGGAAAATCACCGCTGTAAAGTAGAACAAAAAAAATGGAATTTTATATGCGAATACTACGATAGCGAGCATAATCAAGAAAAACTTATTGACTAAGAAGGATTAATGATCTTTTTAACGATATTTTAATTATTTAGCATGAAAAATTATAATAGAAGACGAAGAATATTTCATTGTTTCTCAAAATGTTTAAAAATATCACGCATTTTTTTCTTATTATTTTCACTCGAAAAATGAATTAAACACTCAAATTTGTGACGTCACACGAAAGGCATCTTAATTTGACTTCATTATGAAAAAATCTGCAATGTATTTTACTCATAAGCGAACAAGTCTATGGAAAAGGATCATGATGACATGGTAAAATAGCACTATTTTGTTTTTATTACTGATAAACGCAATAATTATGAAGAGTACCTTTCGGATCTGTTTAACATGTGTCTGGGAGTACGTGACAATTAGAATATGTTATAGTCTAGAATGAAGTATTTTTTTTTATAGATAAAGTGTAAATCTACGATGAGAAGCTTATAAAAAAAACGGCTGGTCAAATTGACTGATTAATTAATAAAAAATTCCTGCGTGATCTATGAAAACTTTCAAATTGTTCTTGAAATAAATGAATATATTTGATTGATAAAATGTTGTTAGGAAGTCTTTTTATATTTTTATTAGAATTACCTGCGGAGAATTTCTAATGAATCAAATAATGAGGTTTAAGTTTAGTGAACACCCTTAAAAAAATAGATATAGTACCAGATAGAACCGTAATTTGCGATAAAAGTCATAATTAAACAATAACTGCATCTGTGAAAGAAGATTAGTTTTATCAAGAAATCTTCAAATATGTCATGTGCAAATATTATTTCTTTTTATCTCCTTCCACGCAAATAGTTATTGTTGGAGAGTGGAAAAGGTCAAATTTGATAGTAGAATGAGAACAATGTTTTATATTCTATGAGCTCGTTCAATATTGAAGCATTTTGAAGGAATATTATTTAGAGAATATAAATAGATTTTAGCTATTTGTTATTTATTTTCTGAAAAATATTAAAAGTTTAATGCTGAATCGAAGATTTGTCGTATATTTGAAAATGAAAATGAAAATGAATTGATGAGAATCAAACGGATGTTATAAGAAGAAGTGCATAGTTATTGCTTTGAAATATTTTTCACTTATAAATACATTTATTTTGAATGTGCTTCAGTAATTAAAATTTGTTTGTTTATATATTGAACGTTTTTGTAGATCTTACAGTGTAATATTCAATGAATATAATAGTACTCATGTATGATATCTAGCCTTTTGTAATAGTATACAACTTATGGATATGTAAGTGGCAATGGTAATAACCAATATTCATAGTGAATTCAAACTAGCTGGTATGAAAAGTAATTATCGGTAATAAGAAAGTGAGTTTTTTAATTGCTAGTAAGCTTAATTGAAATAGTAAAAAATCAAATACATTCAAATCGATATTCTAGTGGCATTAACAAACCTACAGAATGTTTATCGAGATAATAAATAGAGTGTGTACACATAAACAAAGCGTTGGACAACAGATTTATGAAAATGAGTGCGAACTATAAAAGAAAAACAAGAAAAAGGTAATAATTCTATCTCCTATCCTAGAAATTACTTTTGCGAATGTTATGCGAGTTGTTTTATCCGTTTATTATAAGATTCATTTTAATTGAAGAAAGTTAATTTAAAATATTTGAGAATTCGTTCAATTTTTGGTTTAATTTTCAGCTAGAATTCAGTGCACATCAGAACCTTAAGTTAACTATGTGAAACATAAGAATTGGTGACTATGATCTATTTCTGGGTAGGTCATACAATTTTGAGAAATGCTCTCTATGAAAATTCTTATACTCAGTACAAAATCTTAATTTTTGAAATTCTAACTAAAATTTGATGTATGCAAAGACCTATATGAAACTAGTACTTTTGAAAATACTACATGTTTCAAATCAAACCTCACAGAAATATGGATCGTCCAAGATGTCATCTCTGCCTTTTTCTAAATAGTAAATATAGTATGCATCTTTTCAAAACGTGCATATCAAACAGAGCTAGTACAGAAATGTTAAAATTTGAAGGTTTTAAAATTAATCAAATAAAAATGTTTGTTGGTAAACTTTAACAATGCAATCTTAAATTAAAGTTTTTCTGTTTTAGACGTCTTCTAGTTAATCAACTACTTGGTAAAATGACTCGATTTACACTGGGATAGATCATACATACCAAAATATTTTTCATGCTTAATATATTTTACTAAAGCCTACAGGATATGTCAAGACTCGAATAATAATTAATTGATTAATATGAAAGTATCGGTTACTACGGCATCACGACTCTGTGCTCTACGTGGATTTTCTAGTGCTCTCATTAAATTTGACATAACTTTGAAAATTGTCAAAGACTAATGTGTATGTTGGTTTGTTTATGACGTGTAATACAACATGCGCTAACATCGATTATTAGATGATAATTATTTTAGAAATATACATATTAGAAAACGGTAGCCTTGTATCTTCAAGTACACTTTATTTTTCAACGTAGAACATGTCTATTATGTTTCAGTATTAAAAAAGTAATGATGGTTGATAATAGAAAATTTTGATATGTCAATATTAATCTGATCTTGAATATGATTATCTGAATTTATTAATACTATGAAAAAAAATAGTTTCTTCCATCCAACATCGACTCCATGACTTCATTTTTCAAGTTTAAAAATGAAGTACTATAAATAGTAATGACATCTTTGTTGATAAAATAAGATTTATATTGACACGAACAAATGATAATACGATTAAATATCTATGGCCGTTCTTTTTTTAAAGTAACTACAAAATAAAATAATAAATACAAAATAAATGGCAATATTTCAATTGAACCTTTATCTTCATTGCCTAATTTACGTTTGAGAGGATCACTTTGTTGAATAATTCCTTGTGGTTTAGGTAACCGTTCACTTGGACATGGTGCTGGCGGATTACTAAAATATTCCATTTGAAGAGTCTATATCATAAATAAATTTAAGTTAAGATGATGTTTTCTTTTATTATAAATTAGTTTACATCGCTTGCATTTGGTCGTCGTTTTGGATCAAGTTGCATAATCCGGTCTAACACATCGAGTTCATCTGGCTTTGAAGTTGTAAATATTGTTCGCAGTGGTTTAGGCTCTATTGATTTGTATTCGATATAGTTTGAGAATGCTCTCACATCCTATTTATATTAAAATATCATCGTGTATAAAAAAAAAGAAAAACAAGAATATTAATTTCACTTACTGGCCAATTACTATCTGTCGGTGTTCCAAATACTTCAAATATTTTCAATAATTGACCAAGATCCGATTCACCAGGTAATAATGGCGTCTAAAAGTTTTTAGAAACTATATTTTATCAATGTTTATGAAACAATATTTACTCGAAGAAGTAATTCGGCCATAATTAAACCAGCTGCCCACATATCTACAGCAGTGCCATATTTTTTTGCGCCAAAAAGTAATTCAGGTGATCGATACCATCTAAAACAAATATTAAAATCATATAATGATATTTTCGTAAAATAATACTAATCACCTAGTAACAACTTCATGAGACATTAATCTTGATGGTGAACCAAAGAATTTAGCTAAACCAAAATCAGCTATTTTTAAAACGCCATGTTTATCAATTAGTAAATTGTTAGGTTTCAAATCCTAAATTATAATAATGAAATAATTCTGAATTCCTTTGCTGTCATATCAAGTCGAAAGAATAATTTTGACAATTGTGATACTTTTTTGCGATAAACAGAAAAAATATCAGCTTAATAGCGTCGATTGCAGCGATATACGTATACGAATAGATACTGATTGTTAACATAATGAGATATTCTTCGATATTTATTTTCTCACACTACTGAATAGTAAAAGAAACAGCAAAAAACAACTAGTTTAACAACTAATTCATCATCTAGCTAAGCTACAAATTTTATTTCATTATTTTTAGTTTGTCACTATCTGAAGAACGTGAGAAATTTGTTTCAACCATTATGAAAAGAAAATACTACATCTTGCCATTCATCATCTTTTTCTTTCTATAGTCTAGTTTAAAAATTAATCTATAGACCAGTGTTTGTGTGCTAAACGATGCGCAAAAACTTTTCACTCTTGCGCTAAATATTCCTTTTGATTTCAAAAGTTAAAAATATTTAATTAACAAATACATGTACTAACCCGATGTAGTATCCAATTATTATGAAGATATTCAAGACCAAGTAATAACATGATCATATATGATTTAGTATGTGTTGTTGTTAATAAAATACTTCTGTTGTTAATAATGTTCTAAAAAAAGAAATCGTTTTCTTTCTATATTTCGAAAAACAAAAACTGCAGAAGACTTTACTTCAAGATCTGTACTCATAAATTCAAATACTAAACAAATACTTGGACTATTTGAACCATATTCCCCGAATGAGTCAAGCAACTGAAGATAAAGATTTCAAAGAATCAAATTCCAAAGAATATAATGAAAATTTCAATACTTCAATAACATTTGGATGTTTAACTTCTTGAAGAAATTTAATTTCTCGTAAAGCTGTTAAATTGATTCCATCAGATGCTTCTTGTCTACTACCAATTTTAATCTTTTTTACTGCAACGTCATCATTTGTTCTTGTATCTTTTGCTTTATAGACAACAGCATACTAATCAAGAAGTGAGACGTTATTATTATTATTATTATTATTACGATTTCTTATTTATTTATTTAATTTCTACCTGTCCTTCGCCAAGCACTTTTATAAAATCATATCGACGCATTTTTGTCGACATTTTATGTTCTAGAAAACATAAAATTCATGAATAAACAAGAATAAGCGAGCGATATGGACAGAAAAAATCGTAATAAGTACAAAAATATACAAAAGCAAAACCACACGTGATCATAAAACATAGAAGACAAGATATTACAAAGACAGAGATCAAAATTTCTAATTTCCATGAACTCGACGAATAAGATCATTAATATCCTAAAGAAAGAAAATGAATTTATATAATCTCATTTATAACTACATTTTTCCTTTACCGATGGTCGACATGAATCTTCAATCCAACGAAGAATCGTTGATGTGAATCGAGCAAAATTTGTTACTTGTCCTGATTGCATTGCTTGATCAAAACTTACAAATATTGCATCAGCGATATTTTGAAACTAAAAAGGAAGTTCATTTTTCTTTTAAATTCAATGAATTAAAATAAACATACCACTTTAAATTTATCTTCATCATCAATTGCTTTGCTGGCATTTTTAATAGAATTCATGTTCATTTCAAGAATGTCTTCATATGTTCTATTTTATAAAATATTTAAAAAAAGATATTTAATATTGAAATAAAACAAAAACAAACTTTTGAACTGCCCGTAAACAATATATTTCTTTTTTTTTAGCATCTAATTGACTGTTTAATTGTTGTTGTTCTTTATTTAATTGAATAAGATAATCAGTAGCTAAAATATTACAGAACTAATTATATTTGATAGCAAATGTTTTTCGTAACCTACATCGTTTAAGTATTGCTGCTTTGCTAACTTTTTGTGAACTAATTGGATCAAGTAAATGACTATTAGGTACAAGACTTTGCAAAGCATCATATCCTTTCTATTAAATAATATTAAAAAAGAAGGATTTAGCTTATTGCTTTTTATTTTAATTACTCGAATAGCATTTCGACGCTTTTGTTCAGCCGCTGTATGTGCAGCTCGCCTGCGACTATCGTCTCGTTTTGCTCCCGAATTTTTCTCCATAACACCACTTGACATATTCATAGTATCACCTTCATCGTCATCATCGTCATCATCTTCATCTATATGAAAATAGTAGTAAAAAAGACTCAACCCATTAACTGTCATGTTTAATGTACCAGAGTGATCAACAGACGATGATTGCAGTTGTATTGGTGGCGGTGGTGGTGGTGGTGGTGGTGGTGGTGGTGGTATTACTTGTTGAATAAATGGACGTTTTTTTAATGGTGAAGCTGATTGATCTGATCCTGAATAAGTACGTTTTAATTGATTAATACTACCATTTATCCCAGTGCAATAATGAACTCCTAACAGTTAATTTTATTTAGAAAAACAATTGACATACAACAAAAAAGAACAATAAATCAATACATACCTCCATCATAATGAGATGTCACTTGGGTATTAACAGGTAGCTAAGATTAAAAATAAAATTATAAAGAAGTCAACTAAAACAATATCCAAATAAAAAGGATCAGCATACTTTTAAATGTGGTTTTGTTGGTGGATTAACATCTTGTTGATGCCAATAATCCGGTTTTCCCGATGCATCCATGCTATCTAGAATAAACTTTATCTGAGTTTTCTTTTATATATCATCACGAAAATAAAGAGCGAGAGAGAAAAAAAAATCATTGATCTTCGAAAGACAATTAATAATACAAGAAAAAATATATAGGATCGATCTGACTAGTGAGTAGTGGAATTGGCTTTTTCACATAATCGAGCAAGTAATGAAGATAATTGTAATTGGGATTCAACACCTTGACTAACGCGCATATATGTCAAACCGATTTCCTTAAATTAGAAAATTGTAATATTAATTATGAAAAATTTAAAAAAAAGTTTTTTTACTCGAATAAATTCAAGTTGCATAAATTCACTCATTGGATATGTTTTAGTCACACGCATAATCACAGAAAGAATATCTTCAGCTGTATAACCTATTTAATAAAAATGAATTAATATAAATAATCTTTGAAAAGTGACACTAATTCGACATTTGAGCAAAATATTTTATTACATTAAAACGCAGCTGTTTAAATTACCCATACGAATGTTAGTTTTAATAAATACAAGCTAAATTTTTCTATTAGGGAATAGATTAAAAATATCAAATTTTGACTACTCAATATTTATTAAATTTTCTTTTCCATATGAAAGTAAAAACACAAAGCAAAAACACGTGTTAATGTCATATTCATAGTCGACGCATTAGAGTATATCGAATAATTTATTTACTAATCAAAAGTAATTTTGCTAATTACCCTCTCTACTTTCTATTTTCGATCATTGCAGTCAATGCTTCAATTGATCTCGAAATCAAAGAAATATTAGAAGTAGACACCAAAGATTATATTCGATGTAACTTTTTGAAGCGATTCTAAATTCGACATTCAATTTGTCTTGAGTGGCAGTTTATTTTATCGAAATCTTGATAACGAAACCTGTATACTGGACTCTGTACTAACATAAAAAAAATGATCATATAATTCTATTTAAAAGGGTTACCCAAGCTTTTTTTTTATCTTAGTTACACGACGAGTACAATCAATAAATAAACAGAATTAATGTTGAGATTCTAGACACTAGACGCTTTTGATGTATTATAATTTTGACTGTTCAAATCTAATTTTCATGATTAGAAAAACATCTTTTGAATTTGGCTTGCAAAAAGCAAGGTTTTCCTAGAAAACTCAATAAACTCTATCTAACCATGAAAAACAACTTTTTTGGGTCGATTTTCGTATTTCATATGTAATTTACCTAATCGCCAAAGATGATTCATTGCTTTGTATGCTTCATCAAGATCACTTTTAAGACATTTTTCAATCATATCACGAATCAGAATTGGATGTGGTTCATCACAGACTTTAAATACATTCTCACTATTTACATGACCAAAACCGAATACAGTTGATTGAAGATTATTGATAGCCTATGGACATTTTTAAATAAGAAAAAAATAGCAACAACAAAAGAAAGCAATTATATTTCTACTTGTCGCATATCTCCTTGCGCTGTAAATATAATTGCTTCAAGACCTTCAGATGTAAACGAAACTTGTTCAGTTTTAGCTATTTCCATTAAACGTTTTAATAATTGTTCATCATTTAACTTTGAATATCGTAACATGGCACATCGAGATTGGATGGGCTCTTAAATATGAAAGTGATTAAAACTGAATCGATACATTGAAAGAAAAAGAAAAATAACAAATACCAATGATTTTGTCTGAAGCATTACATGCAAGTGCGAATCGAGTTGTTTTAGAATATAATTCCATTGTACGACGTAATGCTTGTTGGGCTCCTTCTGTCATGCTACGAGAGAGAAAACAAATGTGTTAAAGACATTCATGATAATCCATTTGATTTACCTATCAGCTTCATCAAGAATAATTATTTTATGTCGGCCTTTCGGTAATGATACTTTTGCTTGTGCAAACATTTTTATTTTAGTACGAACAACATCAATGCCACGATCATTCGATGCATTCATTTCTAGTACAGCTTCACGAAAAGAATCACCTAACATTTGTCGTGCAAGACATAAAACACTTGTAGTCTAAATAAATATATTCTATGTTTGTGAAAATCGAAATGAAATAAAACAAACTTTTCCACATCCGGGCGGGCCTGAAATAATAATATTGGGTAAGTTTCCTTGTCGAGCAAAATGAGCAAGACGTAATATTGCTTCTTCGTTGCCAACGATATCATCGAGTTTTGCTGGACGATATTTTTCAAGCCAAGGTGTATGCTTAGTTACTACTGATTTTGAAATCACGTCAATTTCTTTCGTTTGTGTAGGTGCATTGTTTTCCTTTGCATTTGATAAATTAACATCAAACATTTCCACATCTCCTGTATCTTTCATATCGCTATCCATCTGTTGTAAAAATCTAGAAAAATAAATGAAATTTCAAATAAACAGAAAGAATAATAATCATAACCAATAAATTATTTAATTATTTATAAATGTAATAGTAAAAAGTGAAAACCAATCAATATGTATGAAAAGATTAAAAAGATAGAAGAAAAACGAACGAATAAATACAATCACGCATGCTATCATCTGTTGTGGTGGTGGTGGTATCTCTTTTGTCGATAGATGACCTTACTTATCGGTGACTCGATTACAATAGACATATAATAATTCAAATAAAACCGAAAAACTTTTCGGAGAATTTTTAAAGAGAATAAATTGTGATTTTTCTTTTAGTGTTTAATGAATTAAGTTGCTTTAGAATAAATTTTTTCGTCATTTTTTTTCTAATGATAGCTCAACCGACTGGATAAATTTATTAATACTATATCCTTACAGGATTGAAATACATAATATACTCTCCAAAAATATTTGCTTCAGTACTACGAGCACACCAAAAGTAGTGAGAGTAGCACTTCAATACCGTATAATAAGCTTTAAGATTTTTTCTCTCCACATCGTCTTATAGAGAAAAGAATTCTCTATTTTCTATGCTATTTGATGCCACTTCAATTAATATCATAATATAATAAAATTGCGACAAGACCTATTTTTCTATCATGTATGATGATTATACTAAAGCCTATTCAGTGAATATAATTCAAATAACTGTTGAGAGAAACAAGACCAAGCGCTGCGGTTTTCACCATTAGGAAGAGGAAACGAAGATGCATCGAATATTATATTGTAGATTTGTTGACATTGCTTTTAAAGCTATTAAATTAAACTATTTCAAAACAAGACTACTCGTGAAGTATTCACAGTGAATTCTCAATTTTCAAGTATCTGTTAAAATCGCGGATAAAACATGTGCAAAACTGCAGAATGTTCTGATATTGTGAATTAATCATTCAGGATTTTAAGTTGTTTAGTCGATGCTGTAAGTGAGCGTTATATTGATGACTGTGAAGCAATACAAAACCATTATTTTTGATACTTAGGGAATTGATTGAACAATTTTTAGTTAACGTCTAGGAAAATATGTAATATGCAATTCTATGCATTTTCATCTCTTCTTTCCAAAGATGAATACTGCAGCTCTCTGTCTTGTTTCTATCAAAAGTCATTAAAAAAGCATAGTATAACGGTCATAAATGATAGAAAAACAGGCCATATCGAAGTTTTATTATTATGATATTAGTTGAAGTGAGTTCAAATAGCATAGAAAATAGAGAATTCTTTTCTCTATAAGACGATGTGGAGAGAAAAAAATCTTAAAGCTTATTATACGGTATTGAAGTGCTACTCTCACTACTTTTGGTTTGCCCTAGAAGTAGGATGTTGAACAGTAGCATTTGAATGTAATACGTTCTATGCATCATGTAACATGTCTATTAGTGTTTTAGTCATAAGATGATCATGCACGAATAGTGGCTGATAATGAGTTAAATCTTATTGATAAATAACTTGTATAATGTTCGTACTCATTCAGTAAGTTTTTTGAAAAAATATCTTTCGATAGCTTGCCCTTCGGTAAGTTCTGTCTAATTACACAAATGATTCCTTAATGAATCATAGTATGAAACATAAAATTATTAACTTTACTCAAGTTCCAAATAACGAACACGGCTAACACGACTATAATTAACTGAATAAAGCAATAATAAGATATTCTCATAATTGTATTACTCACCGTGCTCAAAACTTGCATTTTTACATATAAAACAGATGACATAGATATTAGAATGTTTAAATCGATTGGAATTTTCTTCATTTATCAATTTTGATTCATGTATTAAAAGGAGACTACAAATTTTGAGCAATATGAATTAAACTATGTACATACCATTAGTCGTTCGGGAAAACTAGACTGAAGAAATGTACAAGAACTCTAAGCGCACAATCTACGAAGTGGATATTTTTAACCACGAATGTTACTCTAATTATCAGTGAATAGAAAACTATTATAGTATACCGAGTACGATGATAATAATGGTATTGAGTACATTTGTTGTTTCTTAAAATGGTTAAGATTTTCATGATTTTCTGTACAGTAGTTTACATGACAAAAATTCACAATAATTAATTTTTTGCATAGATTAATAATTCATACCCTAAACATAGTAGTGAATGGCAATCACATATTAAAGTCATGACATGAACAGGCAGTAATAATTCAAGCGTATGTTTTAATTTTGTATTGGCTTGATTGCGTGTAAATTAGGTATAACAATGGTAGATTGTTGTTAGATTTCTATGGAACTATGGAAAATATTGATATATTTTCTTCAATTGATATTATGTCAACGTCGATATCTATTATTGAGGTTTCTACGGGAAATTCAATTAGAAATTTATTCGTAATTTTTGTGTACATGAACGCAAGATTTTGCTGGAAATTATTACTTTAGATACCTTATACAACTGAACATATATAATCGTAACCTGTTATCGCATATCTAATAATTGCTGACGTTGATTTGTTTTTCTTCTAAATGACACTTTACGTCTCAATTAGAAAGAAAGCTTAGCTATGTAATTCTTGGAACAATTATTCAGAAATAGAATTATTGTTTTAATGATGATGATGAGAAATATTTCAAAGAATCATTATAGTGAGAGGCTGCA